TTAGACCAATATTGCTAAATAAGAAAAGCGTTCATCTTACAATAATGGACCAATATTGGGAATTCTAGATTAACGTTATTTCCCAACATTGTGCTAATATATTGTGCTAGTAGGGGTTGCCCCGTGATTACGCGATTTTCAAGATAAATTTTAAGAGAAAATTCTCTCCTTGTGGTGAAATTTCTAACATATCGAGATACCAATCATTAAGGAAAGAATATAATTTGTATTGAACACTGTCACATACACGATTCCATAAATATTTATTATTACATTAGTCCGGTTCTTCTCGAGCTTCCCTCAAATTTAGTAAATATCTATGCACTACGCATATACCTAATCTGACCTTTGCTCGGTGCGGTCTTGTGTGTTCTCAGTTGCTGCGCTGTAGTACCGCCATGCATCTGAATCAGTTTCGCGCAGTCTCTGTATCCTCTATAGAGAGCTGCGTCCAGTGGAGTCATCGAATTACCCTTGCTGGTCCTAAGAACCGCGTTGATTTTCGCGCCATGATCCAAGAGAACTTTGCACGCGTCCAAGTGGCCGTGCAAAGCCGCGACATGGAGAGGCGTCTTGCCATCGTGAGTAGCGACATCCAACGTGCTCGGTCTCTTTTTCGCTAACCATTTTATCAGTTCGATTCTACCGGATGCGACGGCTTCGTGTCCAATCCCCGTGCCACGCACGGTTTTAGCGTGAAGCGATCCACCGTGCTGAGTCAGAATCTTCAAGGTTTCTAACTGGCCCTTAGCTGCGGCGCAAAGTGCTGGTCTGGAAGATGTTGAAATTCTCTTGAAAACTTTTAACTGAGATTGAAATATAACGGTTAGACCCAACATGTACCAAGCACAGTAGAATATCGATTATCGAGAATCGTTATCTTGAAGGAAATCTATTATTTTGCCGAAAGGTCAATTAAAAATTAAGATTATCCATAAACTTGGTAATCTTACGTTCGACCCTTTCGATCTTGGCGATTGGGATCGGCCCCGAGTTTGAGGATGAGAGCGGTGGCATCCGCGTGACCCAAAGTGGCGGCATAATGTAACGCGGAACACCCGTTGTCGTCCACATAGTCTGGATGAGAGCCGCACAAGTTGACGAGTACTTCTACGCATCTCGCGTGGCCCCTCGAGGCTGCGCAATGAAGTGCCGTCAGTCCATCTTTGTCCGAAGTACCTGCGGCTGCCGACCCTCCGGCTCTAAATCAAAGGAAGATCATATAACGAATCTCCCTCAATTGCTCTCGCAACGTTGCTCCGTATTGTCGATTAATGAATTAAAGATTGAAATGTCGATCTGGCATTGAAGAGACTGACGCCTGTTGGAGAACTGAAACTTTTGATCGGAGTCAGTCGTCTACCTTGCTAGAGCCAACACGGCCTCCACGCTACCCGCGCTTGCTGCCCACAGAATCGGTTGCCGTCCGTCTTCGTCCTTGGCGTTCACGTCCGCCCCGAATTCGAGAAGCGTTTGTAGAACTTTCAGACCGACCTTCTTGGGCACGGCGAGTTCTGCCGTGGCGGCCGCGCCGCAACATTGGGCGGCATAGTGAAGTGGAGAGCCGCCCCGTAAATCTGGGGTGGAAGGTCGCGCACCGGCTGCCAGAACCAACCGAACGCATTCCGCTTCCCCGCAGACTGAAAATCGTTTTTGTATCTTTGGCATTTTTTAGGTATTTCTTGAAGTGGACAGTGAAAAAGGATAATATCGGGGAGATAACACCTCGATTCGAGATACCACGTGGTCGGGGCCGCAAAGATCGAAGGGGCCGACAGAGAGTCGCCCTACTAGTAAGAGTTATACTATCGCTCTCTGAAAATCGCAGTGGTATACTTAACACTTACAACTGTAAATCAGTGGCTATTCACTGTTTTCAGTGATAATCCACTGATTGACTTTTAAAGAGCATTATTATTTTAAACCAAAAAGATATTCTACCGCCAGCAAATATTAAGATAATTAAGGTGAATAATCCGACACCACTGTATGGCAACGGAAATACTTCTTTTATTAGCACTGTGCCTGTTGCCAATGGTGTCGGATTATTCACCTTAATTATTAGTATTTTATTTTTAGTTCTTTTATTAATTGTTTTTTTGTTTTTCCCTCATTTTCTTAGAAGGTCAAACTGTCCACTATCGTATATTTATTAAAATTTCCTTAAAAGTTGGGTGTCGGACTGAAACGCAGGGTGCCGTATCGTTCCTTCCGATCTCCGAGGAAACTACGTGCCGTAATGGTCAAGGAAGGTCAGTAGGTCGTCCTGAGTAACGTCGTTGCGGTTCGTTAGCGATCACGCGAGCGTATATCGCGATCGCTTGAGCGACTGACCATAGAAGTCCTTGGATTTTATTTGTACGAAAACTTACGCACGCATAAAAGCGTTTTATCTGTTAGATATACGTCGGTTATATAATATTCCCACGTGTGAAAGAAAAGAAACGTTTATTTCGCGATAACTTATAAAGATTAAACGCCTATTTACTCATATTGCTTCATAATATATTTGGTGTTACCAAACGGAAAGCATCTGGCACAATTTATACAGATTTGCGGAAATAACTGATCTACGTTAAAAACAAAATTCTGATAAACTGGTGAGATGCGTATTAGTAATACATTTTTTGAAAAATTTAGTCATTATTACTGAATTTGATAATAATAGCAAAACGTTTGGTAATAATTATAAACATTTTGAACGAGTCAATTTTGCATTTAGTTGAGTCAACTAAATTCTGCAATGTTTTAACTTTAACAAATTTAATAATCAAGCTTTTTACGCCTTAGTGGTCGAATTGGTGAAACGCCCGTCCAGAGAGAAGGGAAGTCCAAGTTGAAACCCTGACCGAGGTAATATTTTTCGCAATAAATTTTCTGTATTAAAACACTGGCTGGTTAATGTCAACTAAAAAGCTTGATTATTTTTATCTATTACTAGCAACTTAAAGAGATTTCTATGTTTAACAAATTTATATCATCATAATAACCTTTGCATTTAGTTGAAACTATTTCACCATAGATCTAGGTAACATTAACCAAGTCTTTTTTTTCAGTGCGTGCACATATATACGCGAAAAAAAAGGAACAAGTGGAATCCAAGAATAAAAATTAAGGATACGAATTAAAATAAACATAAACGATATGGATAATTTATTAACACAATGAAAACACAGCTAAAAGCTAAAAATAAAAAGAGAAACAATTTGTACGGGTTTAAAATGCAAAAGGATATGTCAGAGATAAAAGCGAGCGATACCAGTGGCCCAATGGAGAACACTGTGTCCCTCGAGATCCTTAGCATTGACATCGGCACCGTTCGCCAGGAGAACCGCGACCAGCTGCGTGTCCCCGGCGATGACCGCGAGATGAAGCGGAGTATGCCCCTCGGCATCAGGAGCGTTCACCAGTTCTGGTGCCGCCGCGGCAACGGCACCACCGGTACCCGCGTCCATGCAATAATGAAGGGCGTTTCTCAACGTGCGATCTCTGTAAGCGGTCGTTTCCGCCTGCTCCTTCAATAATCTCAACACTCTTGCCCTGTCGCCCTGTTGACAGGCGTGCATCAATGGCGTGGCGCCGATGTGTAACACCCTGAAACAGTGCGTCTCTTTCATTCGCCAAGCGAAGAAGGAAGAAGAGAGAATTCGTATTAAAAAGAAAAATGTATTCCGCACACCTTTCATTTTCTCATATAGAATCAATTCCGATTGAACTGCTAAGAAAACTTATTATCCGCTAACGGCAATCGTTTAGGTATCGTGCTGAACCCCGCTCGTCAAACGGATTGACTTGCGAACGAAAATAGAAGAGGAAATTTAAGTAGGGAAATGAATATCGATCGTCTCTACCTGTAAGGTCTCTTCTTGCGATGATCCTGATGCTGCAGGGAGCAGGGTGGATCCTGCGATCGCGATGTACCGGACGGTCTATGTTTGGACGTACGATGATTCGGATAGGGTGTCAGCGGGGGCAAGGACACATCGGCCACGCGATCCGCTTTCTTTGGTTGAGGCTTCTCCTGCGACTTGAGCGGAATCGGCGGTGTCTTAGTGTCCATGCCCGTCTCTGGCACCTACTCGCGACTACTCCAGCCAGTCGCGTGGAAGCATCTTCGGACCTCTCTCTTCGGACGGATCGAACTCATCGCGCCGAGGAGGACGGTTTTCTGGTCTCTCAACCCGAGAGCGAAATAAATACGCTTGAAAGAAAACGACTATTGAGCGTACACGATGGTCCTTGAGATACCTATTTGATTTTGATGCTAATAAAATGAGCGTATGCACGGGGATAAAGTGGGAATATATAGACGTGCACGCACATACGTTTACGCACGAGCTGGATAAGTAAATTTCGCGTGTTTCGCAACACGCTGCGATAATAAATGGAGCCGTCGTAAAAATGAAACTATCGATTTATGTATCTGCGCGCGTGAAGGACGTTGCCGTAAAATCTGTAACGATGCTCCGCATCCTAAAATAAGCATCCATTAAGGGACGACCCAAATTTTCGATTCTAAATCAAAGTTCGGTTACTGACCACGTGGTGAACTGACCAGGTCACTCGCTACCATAGAAACCAGCGGTCACAACACGCGAATACCTATAAAGAACCATAATGGCTGATTCCACGGCAAGGTCGTCACGTGTCGAATTCTAATCTTCACCTAGTGTAGATCGTATGAGCTGTCAGAAAACTGATTACTTAAGACGCCAAGGGGACTATCGAAACCCTGGTACGCATAGTATTCTTTCGACTCATCAGCGTATGGGATAAAAACGTCGTTATTCTTTTTGGAGACTGATTTACTTAAACTTTGTTCTTGTATAACTTCGTTTGTCCGACCAGACGCTGTTTTTACATTGTGTTAATACTAGTGAATTAATTAGATGAGAGCCAATCTAATTACCCAAGTAACATATTTGAGATCGGGTATATTTTGCAATATTCACATTCAGTTCAAAGAGATTGTTACAATTTTCGAAAACCTGTCTTGTAAACGATTTCAAAAAGATAAATATGCAAATAAATAATCAGCGTCGCGCAACTACAGAAATTTGATCCACTTGGTAAAAGTAAACTTCTTGACAAACTCGGTAATTAAGTACATATCATTGCTAGGCGTTTATGGAGAACAAACTTTCGATGAGAAACTTGCATTTTAAGATATCTTTTGCATATTTTAAATCGAAGCATCTTTACGTAAATAAGATTCAAATTAAAATCTCACAAAGTCCGCTTGAAATTATTGAAACAATTTCGTTAACTATCTTCTCCGATCACGCCTTATCCTTAGTCGTTAATTAACGAGATAAGTGTGTCGGCGTTTTTGCCAGAGAAAAATTGCTTCTATGCCGGTTGGACGTCGCGCAAATGAGAGTAAGATCTCATATAGTTCGTAGCCTCGCGCGCAAGATACATACATGCATACGTGCATACATGTATGTATACGTGCAACGAACTCTCACCGTAACGCGGCAATGACTGAAAATCGTTATTTCGTTGATTCACCATGCCGTACATCGATCCGTTATTGCTCCGTTAATAATTCGCCGAGACCTTCGTTTTTCGTGATGTTGCATCATTAATACTTAACTGCAACATCTCTGGCTTTTCGCGTTACGTGCACCACGCTTCGATATATCACATGTTTATTGTTTACGAGATCCAAATTGGTAATCGATCGGGACGCGATGCATATATCACAAGTACTTGCTTACAAAAAAGTTAACAAACAAAACAATTATCCACGTTTCTGTGCTGCCAAATGTATTTCTCGATGCGCACACAAGGGATGTGTACCAATAATTTCTCTCTTTTCAATTTTCACCAATAAGCGCAAGTAACTAAATTTACATTACTTGAACATGAGAAACCGTGTTTCATGAAATATTCAAAGACTTAACTTTTACTGAAAAATAGAAAGATACGTATATCCTTGTAACAGTTGTAACATTCTTAGTAATCGTATCGATTGTTTATAAATGTTTACAAATTAACCAAATGAATATTTCAAAGTTTAAAATTGTTAAAATAAATTTATATGATTATTGAAAAATCGCATCAATTTTAAAACATTAAATAAACGTCAAATAAAGATCGGTGAACATTAAAATGGAAAGTAGAATAATGTGACTTTAATATGTGCGCCCGCCGGCTCACATTGGCCCGAATAAATTTTCTCGCTTGATTAAGTTACGTCATTTAATTAAATTATATATTTTTATTTTATTTACATTTTTAATTCCTTGCAGAAATAGAAGCAAACTTTTTATACCGCTTAAAGCCTTCTATTACGAGACAGGCTTCTAATATGAGATAGTAGGTTTTCAACATCCAAATTCAGTCAGAAATCTGTTTCGCGACGATTACACGATCTAACAATGAATTTTCCACTAGACAGATTTCACTTCAAGGGCAATAAATTCATGGTGGAACCAACGGAGATGTCTGTTAATTTGGCACCAACTCTGCTGCCTCATATTAGGAGCTTATCTCATAATAGGGGACTCCTCTGGGATATAGGAATATCCCAGAGAACGTTGAAATATCTTTAGACAAAAAGATATCTTTTAGACATCCTGTAGACATGCGTATTGTTTGGGGTGGTCATGTCTACATAATATCAACCAAACAATATGCGAGATATTTAGTCGATCGTCGTTCTGGTATAATATCTAATATGTATATTTAATTGATGTATACTTACCTCGCGTTATAAATTACGCAGCTAAATTGTGTTGTTTGCTCATTATTTTGGCGCCAGATTTCAAAAGTCAAAGTTCGGTTGTCAAACGTTGCCTTCGGCCACGAGGTCGACTCGTTCTCGCGACAGTGAAACGTACCTTTAGAGGGTGGAGAGCGCACTGAACGCTCCGCATTAGCACGAGCAAGTTAACGTAAGGGTTGCTTAGATACCACCGCGTCTCAGAAACGTGTCAACAAAAACTAACATAAGTTTGATAATCTATATTCTATATTATCAAACGCGTACAAAAGATTTTTGCAACTTTTACTTTAACACGCTAAACATTGAATACTGTTAAACTCTCAGAGTTTTTTCAGAAACTTAAAAAAATTCTCTCGAAATGTAAACGGTCAATAATGCTTCGATTAATGAAAACTACAATTGATAAAAGCTACGTTTTTCGTATCAGTTTCTGATTTGAACAAAATTTAAGTTCGTTATTAGACATAATTAAATAAAATTTTAAAGGTTTTTTCTCTAAAGAAAAAATCCATTGAAATCAACAATTATTTTGTAAAAATTATTTTGAAATTATATATAGTTAAAAATTTATTTTCTAATTATGTATTTAATATATATGATAAATCATTTGTATTTCTTGAAATATTAGTATTCAGAAGTACGTAGACAATTGGGGGTATAGCTCAGTGGTAGAGCATTCGACTGCAGATCGAGAGGTCCCCGGTTCAAACCCGGGTGCCCCCTCATAGATTTTTTTTTCTACGATCGCAAGTATTCTCACTGAGAATCAAATTTGTATTTAATTTTCAATCTCGTTGTAACGGTTACTTTAATAAACATTATAATATAATATATACATCTATTACTTTACTTTAGTTTACAATTAGTATTTATTAATGAAATCTTTAAATTGTTTCTTTTTAAAATATAGGAATAAATTAATTCCTATATTTTGATTTAATTTTTACGGATCATTTTTTATTAATTCTAAATCAAATTAATAAACATTTACAGAAATGTATTCTCAAATGGGATATTGGGCTATATATCTTAATTTTTGAAGAGAATAATACTAAAAATAATAATTTCATATTTTTAATTGATTGATGGAAGCACAACACTATTTTATTTAAAAAAAATTTATTGATAATTTTATGTAGTAATATTGAGTTGATATATTGTAAACAGATTACATAGTATGAATCCTGTCCGATTCTTTTATAGATGTAACATTATATATCCAACAATAAGAAAACAATACACAAACAAATCCCTCTATTCTAAAATAAATTTTCCATCTCCTTTTATACTGCTCTTTCGTCATTCACATTGGATAATCTCACGTGATCATAATATCTTTTATTCATTTCTTATTCTAAATTACATGAATAAGATTGAAGACTAAGGAGAAACTAAGATAAAGAAAGTACTTAATCCAATAACTTTAGAATAGAGAAATTCACTGTAAAAAATATATAAAACATTATATCATAAATTTAATTTTGTGCGTATTTGAATATTTGTGGATACTAAAAAAACAAGAAGTTCCTCTAATTGTAAGATTACTTAATATCTTTTCAATTAGAAAACATTATGGATATTACATATGTTACAATAATTTCATATTTACGCTAGTATTGCTAGTATTATTCGGCTCAAAATTATTTTAATATTCTATGGTAGAATCAACGTCAGTCTTTTAATATTAGTTTCTGTCAATATTAGCACAAAGATGAAAACATTAGATATAGTTTGTCACAAACTGTACCATTTAACACATCGCTTTCTTAACATATTCAAATCCATCTTGTTGTTATATAATCTTAATATATCAACAATTATTACCAATCCTTAATTTTACATAATGAGTAATAGCTTATTAATATTTGGAAGACTTAATAATATAACCGTTTTAAATCTATATTTTGCTATCCACAAATAAAAAGTGAGTTACGTGGAATATACATATATAAACTTTATGAACAATCTGCTTTGATAAGGCAACTTGTAAAATTTGTATATAATCTAAAATATTAAAAATGGTTTTTCGATATCTATTTTATAAATGTATATGCTTATAAAGAAATATAGCGTTATTTTGAGAAATAACCTTTTTGTACACAGCAGTTGTGTGACACAATGATGTCAAAGATTTTTATATTTGTGCCTAATCTTCTGAAAATCGATAATACTCCGCAATGTGAGTAAGCATATCTTGAAACACGGTAGAAGGTGACGTACCAAATTTTTGTCTCCACAAATGCCTAGCAATGATATGTTGGCCTGACGTATGCGTAGCTTCTTGAACTTCCTCACATATTTCGACGGCGCTTTGCCAAATTGTTTCTTAAAGCATTAGGAGAAAAATAATTGCGTGAAAATTGTGTTTAGAGAAAACAAAAGTATCCCAATATTAAAGCACGTAATTACCAAGATTGTCGAGAAGTTTACTTTTACCAGGTGGGTCAAATTTCTGTAGTTGCTCGACACTGATAAGTTTGTATTGTCTTAAATTCTGTAAAGCTTCGTAACTGCAGCAGCGAGCGCGATCATTTGCTACTATATAACTTCCTGGTAGCGTATGCCTGGCAATCTCCCTCAAAGCTTCTTTCACCATGTTACTCTTGTCGACTCCTGTTTGTAACTTGTCAATTTTTTGCGGCTTAAAATACACACAACGCAAAGTAAATGTAAAGTTGAAGTAAAATGATATATCTTGCAATTAAGATGTGCTACGCTCAAGTGTTACCTCTGGAATAGCTTCGATCATGTGTAGCCATACGCGAGGTGGTACAGTATTTGCTTCCGCAACGCATATTATTGTATGTGAATTATTATTACGTTTCTTGGCAGAGTTTACGTCTGGCTGATGCTCCGTCATATAGCCACCAGGAAATTCGTCCACAATTAATATTGCACCTTCGCCGCCTAACAGCCACTCATCTGGATGTTTCTTGATATAGATTGCGGAAACTTCGTCGCACCGCTCGTATATCTTTCTAACAACGTGTTTCTTTACATCTGCAATAATATATGCGCGTGTATCTGATGCTACGGGATCTTGATTATGTTTCAAGGCTTGTAATTGTATAAATGAAGACCTAAGTAAGAAGCGGTACTTTCACAAGGAATCTTTTGACACCATCCTAGTATCACTTGAAGGCACATTTTCAGATCACACTTTATTCCGAAAAAGAAAGACTTTTCTCTTATGGACTGCTTTCTCATGCAGTCAGGACAGGACCAACTGTACTTGTCTACGATTCTTGCAGGACTCCAGATCAAATTGCGCCCTTTACAATCCGAATGTGGACAACTGTAGCCTGGGTGAAGCAAACTCATTTCTTTCAACCAACCGCATAATTCCCCCTCGTGGCCCTGTTGCAGCATCGGTCGAACGGAGACGTCAAAAAATCCACAATCGCTAAAAAGCCCCGAGCATGTCCTGCAAATGTTTGTATCGTAAATTAACCGTAACGTCGTAGGCTGAGTTTGACAGGAGTAAACAACGTTCCGCGGCTTCAATTACCTTGAATTTTTGGCCTTTGCGTTTTTCATCATTAATTCTAAGGTACTAGGCAGTATAATTGGCTTAACGCTACTAGCTCTCGCGTCTAACAAATACGTAATAACGACGAATAAAACTTTGCTCGCGCTTAAACAAAAAGTGAACAAAAAAACAATTATAAGAACCTAACGCTAACAGGAACCGATCAAGTGACCGTGGCGGAGTCCATTGTTATCTATATACGTATAAATACATATATATATATGTTAGATAGAGGCACAACTCGCTGCGCGTTGGCAGCGTCGCAGCCGAAACGAAAGGCGCGTGCGCGAAAGGGGCCTCGATTTGAAATCGGGCGCCGATGTTAATGCCCAGTTCAATAAAAATTATAATAAATTGTCGACGAAGGACGAAAACAGAGAAAAGTGGAAAAATGATATCGAGAAGTCAAAATGGACTGAAACATTAATGCGCTGACTTACCTCTCAATCTTCTTCCGTTACAATCTTTATCGGAAAATTTCTCCTTTTATCAAGATCGAGAGAGAAAGATTTATATAAATTCTTTTATAAAATTTAGAGAACACATTAAAATTACCTTCAATACTTTCTTCTTTTTTTCCTTTTATTAAGAACACGTTTTACAAAGCAAAATCTTGTGATGGTGGAAGTTGTGGAGGCTGAAGACTACAGAGTTGGTGTCGATAGGTACATTTTAACAAGGTTCCGAAAAGGTGAGTGCGGATAAGGATATCGGCACATTAATATAAAAAGTATTCTTTGAGTGACAGCGTGAATATTAGGCCGACACACTCATTCATTCGTTCATTTATTCAAGTATTTATTCGTTCGATCAGTCAGGTCGGTCAGTCGATCGGTCAATCTGTCCAAAAGATAGATAGGCAAACATTTTTGTCTACATACGCTGCACAAATACACTGCACGTTCATATGTATGCACTTGAAAGCTAAACACATGATTTGTCTACGTATAATTTTCTAGTGGAAAACACAGTGCAAACGAAGATCGCTGATATATGAGATACAAAGTACTTTATACAATATAAACAGATTATTGCTCGATGCAATAAACACGATAGAGCTATCTTCCTGTTAATATAATAATAGCACGCGCATGAAATAGAAGTGATGCTTTTTTTTTAAACGTCGATCAATGTCACGAGTTGGTCGACTTGACCGGTAGGATTAATGTGATAAATTTATACAAGTCGTTAGTTGGGTCGTTAAGTATCACGCACAGACGCAACTTATATTTATCCGATTTTCTACTAAGTGCACTCGCCATGAATTCTGGGAATTTTGTTCAACTGTCGTTTCGATAATCGTAACAAGAAGATAGCAACGGAAGAGCTCGTCGAGGAATAGAGCACAAATGATATATAATCAGCCTCTATAATGATATTCCGATGGAAAATTTCTCACGCAAAGGCTCACGTCGCGTGAAAACGCATCAACGTGGTATAAGAAGCGATAACTTTATTACGGATAATCAAACTTGCGTAATTGAAAGTTTGGTGACTAATAAAGTGAAATTATCTTTTGATAGGATCGCGCGATTGTCATTACGAACAATCAACTCTGCGTAAATACAGTTGGATCTTATAAAATATATGATGATCGAGATCGAGATATTGAGAAGAAAACGAGCACAGTTATCCTTTTCTTTATATTTCAGATATATTGCGTGCATAGGAAGGCGCAGTTTCAAGATTTGACAACGAAAACTTCAATCACACCGCATCCTATTCAGGCGATAATAACGTAAACGTTACAACATGATACTACTGTAACAACAGTGGCAACTGGCAGATAAACAGACAGTTTGGCAGGTATGATGAACGTAAAACCAAACATGTACACGTGACACTTAACCAGACTTTTTCTTTTGCATCTCCCTCTTAGCTACTCCCTCTCTCTCTCTCGTTCTTTCATTCATTCACAATTCTTTCTTTCTTTTGCTCTTCTTGCCTCCATTACTCTTATTCATTCCTATTCTCTATATCCACGAAGTCCTATAATAATGTAATATAGGCTTTAGTACTCTATAATGTATGCTAAACTAGGACTACCACTACGCCGTCTAAACACGGCGCAGTATTCTTAATTAATATTAGGAATATCGGCAGTGAAATTCCAATGACAGACGCGGCAGGCAGGCAATCAGTCCGGCAAAGTCTGTGGCACTTGCGCTGTTCCGGTGCGTAAAACAGATAAAACTGATTGTCGGGGTGCCCCGCACGTTTAATTTTTAACATTCAGTGTCGACACACGACTGCACGCAATGTCTACAAAGATAATGAATCAAAATTAGGGAGGGGGGGCACCCCACTGCTCGTACCGAGCAATCTCGCTTTTCTATTTCCACCATGGCACCTTCATCGTCATGTTCCACCATTACTTGACATCGTCATCTTACTCTACTTTTTTCTTCCATTGAAAAATAATTTCTTTACAATACTTGGTGATGTGTCCACCGACGAATACGGATCGCCGCGATCGACCTTCGCTTGCTCGATTTGATCAGAGGCAAACCGATGTTGTGTTTGAATTGTCCGAAACGAAGATTACTAAGATTATAAATCACAAATGAAATCACAGACTTTCGTTGGTGGTTCGAATAGAGAGGGGCCGTACATTGCAATTAGAACAACGTCGTAGGCATTATCAGGAAAAGTTTGATGAGAGGCACGGGGAACTCTTCTATTCCCCACTGCATTTCATTCCCATCCATTCTCCTTGATCATATGGGCAAGTTCGATTATAAATTTTCCTTCCTTGTACTTTTGACTTGACTCGAACGCATGCTCCTAAAAAAAATAACATCACACGATTAACAATCTTTCTTTATTCCTTCTTTAACAGTAATTTTCAGTTAACGGATAACTAACGTATTTCCACCCTAGGGTGGTTTTGCAGCACTCGCAATAGATATCAGCGACAGCGTGCAGCCCAGTTAACAGAACTCGCTCCTCCGCGGGACCGCAACCTACGTTCACCCTACGTAACGTAATTATCATTTTTCCATTTCTGTCATATGTGTTCTGTGTTATATGTATACGTATCGATCGATGTTGACATAAAACACACAAAGAATATCCTTAAATTACAACCATTACTAAAAATTGCAACATCGGGAAGAGTATTTACTTCTTTACTTTACTTTTCGTTCACGTTATTTAGAAAACTGCCAAACATTGCGAAATTACTGACATTTTCTTAGTGCAAATAATTTCGACAATTCTCGCGCAAATTACATTTGCACCGTAGACTGATAGAAACCTTATTTTTCATTCGTCGACAGCCATTGAAACAAAGCATCGTATACAAAGATGTGTGGGAAACCAAAAAGTACAAAGGTCGAATTTTTAGAGAAAATTAATTGTGAGTGGGAATAAATACAGAAAATTCTATTAATAACTCGAAAGGATAAAAATAGAGTTCTAGGACATCCTGTATGTAGGTATTATAAAAGTGGCCAATGTCAAAGATCTCAAAGTTGTTCTATTTCCAACGTATCGGTTATACTTACACAGAATTAAAAAGATAGGCACGACCTTGACTGCCCTGGAAGGACTGAAAATGCGAAACGGACAAAATTATTTATACCATCGGCGTGTTACGCGATACAACGGGGAAAGTTAAGCCTATTATTAGTCGTTATCGAACTATTTGCGATTCCGATCGGGGCGTCAACTTTTACCCGCTACAGCCTTGTGTCTCGGTAACGGGTTTTTTTTCCCCCCCGAGATTAACCGAAACTACGTGTCGCTATCTGACCAAATACGAACGATAGTAATCATGCGTTATCGCACGTTATTACGCACGCGGCGTGTCTACGCAGCCGTATTCCGACTTTAACCGATTGCACGTAGAATATGACGTCAAAGCAAAGGCAAAGTCACGCGGGTCTTTTCTTGTAACAAACAAATCGAAATAGAAATCGGTCTTCTCTCCTTATCGCTCGTGCGTTACGTGTAAATTCGTTAACATAGATTAGCAAAGTACGCCGGCGGGTTTCTTCAACGTCACGATCCACCGTATTCGCGGCAAATTGTCGGAGAGGCTCCGGTCGGAGTAAAAACGGGGGGGGGGGGGGAAACAAGATTTGCCGCGGATCGAGGCCGTGCGGCTTACCTTAGAGATGAGTTCGTCGTGATTGGCGAGATGAGCACGGCAGTGAATGCACGAGTAAGTGCGGTGACAGGAAGGTAGATACGCTTGAAAAGTTTTCACCATGATGGCGTGTCCAAGCGAGCGAAAAGACACTTCGCCCTTGCTCGCTATCCTCCTATCCTCTTGCCGGACGTAAGGATACAGATCTCTTGCCGGGAGATTTACGGGCTCTTTCTCTCTCTCTCTCTCTCTCTTCTCTCTCTCTCAGTGCTCTCCTCTCTCTCTCTCTCTCTCTCTCTCGCTCTCTTATCTTTCACCTAGAGGACCACGAGACTGAGTTTCTCCGAAACGCGGGGTGGTGGTGCGATAGTAGCCCCGTTCACCGCCGCTTCGTGCTCCGATCAGCTGTTGAGCTGGTTCAGACAGCGCCGGTTCGGGGACACCTGTAAAGCGAGGGAGATTACGTCGAGGGAAAACGAAAACGCGACTCGTCGATTTTCATTTCGTATCGATTCTCCCGCTGGCAACTGTGGACGTGGTACAAACGGACCCACCATGCGCGCTCTACGAAAAAGTAAAGCCAGAATAACCGAGTGAGGTAGAGAAGAAAGGGGCTCGATTGCTATGTTCAAGCGTAACGTTCCTCTTTGACAGCTGGAGATAGGCCGTTTTTAGAGTTTTAGAAAGAAGAATGTTTAACTTTTCTCGAATGGTGCCGTAGTATTCCCTTTATTCGTTGTCTCACTCGGTTACTCTGGCCTCACTTTTACCACACCACGTCCATGCATGCGTTTGGACCCGGGACAATTGTTTTATTTCTCCTTCGCGCCCTTGGGTACCGCGAGAATATTTTTACCGTAAAACTCGACGACGCGGATCTCGCCGAACGCGCGGGCGTTTCGTGAATAGATTCGATAAAACGTTATTCGTATCACGAATTAGCGGGTAGCTTTTTACACACAGAGCCGCACGGCTTGACATTGGCCCGAGATAGCGCTGTTATAGCACGCTGCAATTTTCACGATACACGCGTTCCGTGCCGACAGCATATCGATCGCACCTTCGTGAATTACGCGATCAACATTTGTTAGTGTCTGCCAGTGAATTGCGTTAACAGTGACATTCAAAGTGGAGCAATTGGAAACCACGGCGAGAGATTGATATAGATTAATTTTTGTCTCGCGCGAAACACGTCTCGCTCGCAAAATTCGTAACTTTAGCCGTCGATACGTAATCGACGTTGGTTTCTCGTTCTTTGTTTTGTAAAAAAAAAAATTGCAACGAAGAGCGCAACGACAGTTGCGGAAATGACGTCGAGAGCGAGGCGGCTTCGAAAGGCAATTGCATCGATGTGACTCGATATCGACTGATACGTGCCGCCACGTGCTGGCGCACGTTCAAACAAAGAGACAAGGACGTTATTATGAATCGTTAAAGATAGAGGCCTTCTCTGTACGCGGCACGGATAGCTTATCCCTCTTTAGGAAGCGGACGCTTCATAAATGCTAATCGCACACGTTCTCACGAGATATGCCCGCTAATCGAAAGCCCGATTTTCCCGCGACGGCCTCGCGAAGAGTCGATTCCTCCTGGCACGGAAGTGGCCGCAGAACCTGGTTCCTTCGCCGGGCGGGTCGCAGAGTGTTGGCGGCCGTTGCGATTCACGAGCGCGGACGAGAGACAGCAGTTTTTGCGAGCGGTAATCCAACTCCGTTCATCGGAAGTGTCGGAGTCGAGTATCGGAATTCGCTCGGATTCGCGAGCGCGTATTGAATTCGATCCTATCCTCGCCGGCGCGCGGCGACTGGCGCAGCGAGGAGGAGAACGAGAACGTATGGGAACGGCTTTCCTAACGGATGTCCGAGAACAAAGGGAGACGGGACTTTCGAGTCAATACACTAGTCAAGGTCATTGCTACTTATTGTAGACGCAACGGCGTCTTTTTTTTCTCCTCTCGTCGCGCAAGTGCGCGCGACGATGACTCGCCGCGGGACTCGAGCCTCGGTCTCGATTGAAAACGCGTAAAAAGATAATGGCAATACAATTTGCGCCGCAGCTTGCTCATTCGTATTCAACCCCCTCGGATACATCAAGTTTTGCCGAGCAGTCTGATGGCGGATGACAAAGTAATAGTTTCTGGTACGATCAAATGAAGAAAATCGCTCGTCAAATGTTTATCGGCGCGGGAGTATTAACACTTGGGAGAAAAAAAAACCGATTCCCAATGAACGAGCCTCGCGCAGGCGGGTCCAAGAGAAGCGAGCGAGGGGTTGACGACCGTGGGCCGAAGGAGGGGGCTTTGCCCCCTAAGTTATTTATAAACTGCCTTCTATATAAGAGAATTTACCCGAGTCCGTAACCCCTTTACCCCGCATTAGCCACATTACGAACGGGGATCGAATGGGCCGAGAGCCATTGCCCCCGTCGCAAACGTCGCGAGCGTCGCGACTGATTACGGCGCGGGGATAAGGAGAGGCTGGCAGTTTCGAGCGTACACGGAAAATTCGAAAGAAGCTGAGGGGGTTACGCTCTCACGAAACATATCTGGGGAATAAAAAGCGTGTCGACAGCCCAGCAATTTCGCGAGGATCCCTAGAACGCGATAATGCTCGAGCAAATGTAATGAGTTTCGCCGGGCTCCTAATCGAGCAATTTGGAGAAAGGTATCGCTTCAACAACAAGGAAAAAGTTGAAGAAACGAAATAACAGCCGCGGAGCGTTTCGTCACGGTATTTCGAGATAACGCGGGAGAGGTGGAACGAGGGGTAAACCGCTGAGGGCATCGCGGTGTACAGATTTGCGGGATTAGCGGGCATTTTTGGGGCATCAGTTTGGGCGCGTTGTAAAGATAAGGCAATGCCCACTGGGCATTAGTGGGCATTTGGTGTACACGATTTTGGTCAGCGGTTCACCCCTCGAGGAGGAAGATCCAATCCAGGCGACCAATCTCTTTCGCAAGGTCGTATCTCGATTTTACACAACTTCCGCTTCTTCCGTTTAAACGCACGTTCTTAACCCCTTCAGTCACGAATTTTTCTAGCTATCGGTTTATCATAACAATTGGTTTACAGGGGTTTCTGGGGTCGCTGGTCAACATCTGGTCAACATCTAGTAAATTTGCTCACTTTTGTAATGTTCACCCAAGTATTGGATACACAATCGACCACCTGAAACCAAATCTTAAAAAACATTATTTTTCAAAATTTTTGTCAGCCATATTGGACCCGCCATTTTGAATTTTGAAAACCTCACACCGGATTCGTAGTCAGCGAGCTCAAAAACCCCCTGTATACAAATTTCTAGGAAATAATAGCTAATATTGTTTCTTGGCATGAATTTATTTAAAAAATTTGGCAATTTTCTGGTACTTATTTGTTATTAACAATAATTATACAAAACATTTATGCATTATTAAAATTTTTTATACTTATCAGGATCGCAGGAAGGTAAGAAACAAAAACTGGAAAGAAATTGGTTATATACTGCTCGTAAAGCTTAAAAAAAAAAACCGGTGGTATCCAGGTGGCACGCTGTGACCGAAGGGGCTAAACGAGCGTTTGAGCGGAAAAAGGGGAAATTGCGTAAAATCGAGACACGACCTTGCGAAAGAGATCGGTCGAAATGCTGATGCAAGGTGGTGCAATTATACCCGCGGTCCCGCGACACTCCCGATCGAGCTCCTTACAGTTCTTTGGAAATATTCTCGAAAACGAGTTTCGCGGGGGGGGGGGGGGGAAACGGGGAGAAGCGGGAAAATTTGCAGCGGCTCGGAGAGACGAGAGAAGAGACGCGCGAGAGGGCGGGGGAGGGGGAGGGAGGTGGTAGCGGAGCAGGCGCGTGCGGCGATTCCGTCGCGCGCAGTCAGCTGATAGTCCAGTCAGCTGTAAATGTACACAAAACCGTTGTCCAACAGGTTCACGCGCCGCGCCGCGACGCCACGTTCGATCGAGCCGCGCGTCCGAGCCGCAAGGGCACCTCGCGGATGCGATCCCGCCTCTCCCGGCCCTCGATCGCGCGCGATCGATCGCGCCGAATCGTTGAGCGCGGATGCGACTGGGTTGCCGCTGGTGTGCGCGGGACGGAGTCACTCCCGCGCAACTGCACGTCCGTTGCCGAAGGAACGCGAGATTCTCGCGACTTGGACGAATAAGGAAAATCGGGCCCAAGTATATTGCTCGTTTACTTTAATTCATTCTGGTTTCACCGATGCCGTTGTCGCGTTATCCAGTCGAAACGTCTAAATCGCGCGAACGGCTCTTGGAAACGGAATAATTGCGAAAAGTACGAAAATAGCTGCGACGCAAACAGCGTGCGAAATTCAAGCAAAATGAGCGAGTGAGAGAGAGAGAACGCGGCCAAGATAATCGTCCCGATGTTTTCAAGTCGCGACGCGAATCAGCTGTGAATGTATACAAAACAAGCCGATGCGCATTATCTTGGTGACAGTACGTATTCGTGTCGCTCGTCGTACGCGTGTGCGTGCGCGAACACGCGATCCGTTACGCGCGCAAGGGAAATAAACAGCCGCGGCGTAAACAGGCGCGACGTGACGAATAGAGTCGACGTCTAGACAGGTCCATTTTGCGTAGGATCGAACATTCGCGTCTCGATCTATACAAAGAGGCGCCGAGTTTCGAGCGCGCGCGCGGACACCTGCGCCCACCCGGATCCGCTCGTCCCGAAACGCCGTTGTTGGGAAGAACGAGTCGATTGCTCTCTATCTCTCTCTCTCGCGTCGCGTCGCGTGAAGAAAATCGGAGCGAGCCATTGATAACGGCGAAGGAGGAATCGTTAATCCGACGCGATGCTCGCGGGAGAGAAGAGACGAGACGAGGTGAGACGAGGCGCGACGCGACGCGGCGCGGCGCGGCGAGACGAGGCGAGGCGAGGCGAAACGCTGCGAGGGGGTGAGGGGGTGAGGCGGAGCGAGGCACGACGAATGAGGCAGCTGACAGGCCCCATTAGCTGAGAACGTACACAAACCCGATGCTTTAACCGTGGCGTACCCGCGAGCATCGTCGCGGGATTATTCTCGCCCTCCGTCGCGAGGAGGACGTCCCTTGTCGAATCCGACGGAGGTGCGGAAACAATAATGCGTAGTTGGAGACTCGGAGCGGAGAGAGAGAGAGAGAGAGAGAGATAGAGACAGAGACGAACAAGTATGGAGTACGTAACTGTGACTGCGCTGTTACGACGGGGACGATCGCCGCTCGATGGCGACGACTCGGCCGCACCGAACAGCCGAGAGAGCTTGTTTACTGGTCGCGCTTACGTGAAGCGCGCGTCGTCGAGTGTCGCACTCGCATTCGCTCCCCCGTGTGTCGTCGTAGCTAGGCAAGCGCGCCGCGTCGCGTCCGCTCGGCCGAGGGTACGCGCGACGACGGGCCCGCGTAGGTGAGGTAGAGGTAAACAAAGACGCGTGCACGCGGGGGGTAAACGTCGTCGGGACGGGCTGTTGACGTACCTCCATATGCATCCGTGAGCGCTGCGGCGGAGCGCGACGACGACGCGGGTTCTCGGTGTTCCCTCTGCCTCGCGACTCGTAACGCGGAGCGCGGCTCGCGGCTCGCGGATCACGGCTGCTTCGTCTGCGTGCTGTGCCACGAGCGACCACGGCGACGACGACGGTCCGTTTTGATCATCACTAACGCGAAACGCGCACGTACGTCCAACGAACGCCGTACCGCTGATCGACTCGGCGTCGTTCGATTTATTTCGGTTCGTCCGCAGGCGAAATCGCGCATACGATGACCCGCGCGCACGCGCCCGACGCCGCCCCCCGATTGCGGACATCACCGGTAGGGGCGCGCGTCGCCACACTACTGGGCGGCCGCCGCAAAGTGCCCCGCGTACACGGGGGTGTCGCGCTCCTTCTTTCTTATTTATTAACTGCAGCTTCTCTCCTCCCGTGTGATTCATCCAGACTTTGCGATGCGCACACATACGCACCTTATTATTCCACGTACATAATTTTACGTCGATCTTTGTCACGAAAAAAATGTGTTATGAGAAAAAAATACATACATCCTCCTTCTTTATTTTAGCGGACATCTAGCCTAGGTAACAGATTCGTTTCTTTTGTTCTCGCGCGACTCTTTACAAAGAATTACAAGGCTGATCTGGATGAGTGTTCTTTATATGACACATCCGCCTGTTAGCTCTTCCTTTCTTTCCAAATACCGCCGAGATATTGTTCGCTCCGCGCGTCGCGTTAAATTTGAATTGTTCGGAGAATTTTGCGAGTCCAGCCACGAACAGCAATGACATTCGAATAATCCGTACTCGTAGAAAATGTACGAAGGGCTGCTTTCGTGAGGAGATGAAAATGATGCAGATTAAAATGACCTTGTGCTATGATTGGTAATTTTAATCTGGGTCATTTTCATCTTCTCGCGAAAGCAGCCAAGGATATCCTAGTATACTGAGAACATCCCTGTATATATCTTATATTTTGCAAAATTACGCAGACATTCTCAGAATTTACATCTGTTGTTAGGCTTGTCTTCAGTCAACATAATATAACAACGAGTTAAACGAAGTAGATGCAATAGTGTTTTAAATAGACGCTTTTGGTATGCTTTTGCCACTTAATTTTATACGCCATTTTTCCGTATCTGTAACGTCTCGATATTCAGATCGTCATGTTGGAACGTAAAGCGTTTGAAATTTCAAACGTATCTTCGGCGCCCCAGCATCAAAGCCATTTTATCATTACTTATCATTACATGAGAGATTGAAAGTCTGATCGCACACCGACAACTTTACTACGATCTGCACAAAACTTTTTCTTTAATTTCAATGTCACTTATGATGCATAGTAAAAGGAAATTTTTTAGCACGAGGTTGGCGCTAGACATTAGAGCGTGGACGAATGGCGTCAAGCACGAACAATTATACGATTATAACTCATGCATAATTTCATAATAATGATGATGATTCACGAGCTCGATGCTTCAATACTCGTTTGTTTCACGAAACATCGAGATACGTACGTTGAATACTCTTTCGAAATTGCACATGTTTCACAAGTAATTGATTAAATGTAGGGAGATGCCCCTGCTTTTAAAAACCGATTTCAATTTTAAATCTTGCGAATCTTCTTACACTTTAATCACGATGCCTTCTTGCCTAGGCCCGATAGTATAATTTAAGTATTTCAACAGTATCAGACGACTAAAAATAATTAACAAAATTAATTTCTAATTAAAAATAGTTTTTTAAATACAATGCAAGTACTGTGTCATGTATGGCGCTCTTTTAAAGTAAGTTTATTTCGTGACGTTTTGCAGTCCCGAAAACTAGTTCTATTTTGATTGATGCATGCTTGCGTTTGTATACTATAATTCGTAATATTTTCTTCCTACAATCCAGATTTAGCGAAAAGTGCGCATTTAATAGTATTCTTAAAGAAAGACATGTCAATTTTTCACAGAAAACGAAAATAATAACATATATCAAGTTCTAATTCATTTTTAAATAAACGTTTTGCGACTTGAGCCCCAGACTCAAATGAAAAAATATGTGCAAAGTTATGTGTTGCTCAGTTCAATATGCATATCACAATTTAAATTTGAGGATACTATAGATTGAAAAAAATTCGGTATAATCTGAAAGTTCACAATAAACAATAGCCTTTTTTGACATTGTAAAGTTAATTGACTTCAAATTTCACACGTTATATCTACTTTGTGCCAACTTTAATACATGTTTTTTTTATATAACATGGTAAAAAATATATCTGCTTGTGTATTTCAAAGATGTTAGATTAATGAAAAGGTATAAATTAAAATCTCTCTTTCTTTTATATGGCTTTTATACATTAATAAAAATAATATATATATATGTATGTATATGCACGATCTTTTTGATGAATTTGACATAACAGTAAATATTAACTTGTTCCATATACATAGGTATATATGTATATTATACATATATTTTATAATACATATATAATATTGTACAAATATACACACATTATATAAATATATATATATAATATGTGGATATATAGATATATATGTGAGTGTGTGTGTGTATGGAACAAGAGAACATAGTATATGATCATGCGATATGTACTTACTTTTACATACCGATGTACATAGTATCCACAGTATACTCGAGCGTTATATTATTTCATAAATTTGTAAACAAAAGAGACTGAAAAAAGCTTGTAAAAAAAGCTTTCAAATTCAACGAGTTAGCTGATACAAAAATCCTATTAATTAATATCTATGTATAATCTTTGTTCGAGACAAAAAAACTGACACGATGTCATATTTGCACTTAAAATTTGCACTTAAAATTTGTTAATATATGCAGATAATGGCGGCATCGTCCTACGTTATTTCAGAAAAGAAAGATAGATGCATATTAAAACTATGTAGGAAACCTTTATTCGTATTTTTCCGTTTTTCTAGCTATACTATTAATTAATATACTTTTGCTGACAAAAATTAAATTTGCGTTTCACTAGGAGAGTCCGTTAAGCAATCTCACACGTAACTGCACGCGACGCGCACTTTGTTATCACGGAGGAAATGTTTCAATCGAAAGAGAATTAAGCACGTGGAAAGGCTTCTTGGGATTCTAAACGCGAAGTACATGTGTAACAAGATTAATACACATACAGAATACGTGTATTAATCTTGTGACTTTACTGAAAACTAATTTATGCATTCTCGTATATAACTTTAAGATCATATATATGGCGTTCATACATCGCGTTAATTCCTCACGAAAAACATTTACATCCATTTATTGATATTTGGATCTTATAAAACCGGGATTCTTACGTATTTCTAAAATTTAACGAACCATTTGCTCGTATCATTTAACGTAAAAATATAAATTGCGCGGGACTAAAATGCTATTTTATATAGATCTAAGCTTTAAAAATGCTTCATAAATGCGCAATGTCTGCCACCCTCTTTTTTTCTTTGCCAAAACCGTTTACAGAATCTCCCCCTTTCCATTCACCATCTTACTGTTCACACATCAAGTATCTTCTTTCAATTACCATCGCATAGTTACATTGAGAAGGATAACAAAGCAACGATACACGGCGAACTTAGTATCTTATCTCGATTTATTCAATACGTATTTTCTTATAAAGTGATGTCCTACTAAATAAAAGTAAATGAAAAAAAACCAAACGTAATAGTTAATATGTTCATTAAAATTCTTCTTCTCGTTAAGGCAACTAATTTTTTAGTCTCATTTTACATGTCTAGAGTATATATTTATATATTTATATATTTTATATTTGTATATTTATAAAGTATATGTAAAACACTAATAAACGGTTACCTTTATTTTCTTGTTACAAGCCTTATAGTAATTAGAATATAGTGTGTGTATATATATATATATATATATCTTTGTATATTTCTATTCTTGTAATAAAATTGATTATTATTTTTGAATCTAGAGATAATAAATATATATCTAACGTGTATTGTTAGTACATGATAAGTGCGTGCAGAGGGTGGCAGCAGGGTGCGCATTTGGGAGTGCTATTGTTTCAAGGACTCTCCAGTCCCTCATCTTTATACCGTCTCACATGGTGACATTCAACTGTATTGCTTTAGCGTCCACGGAACATGCTTGTTGTTGTTGCGTCTGTTGCTGTTGTTGCTGCTGCTGTTGCTGCTGCTGCTGTTGCTGCTGCTGCTGCTGCTGTACTTGCTGTTGCACTTGTTGCTGTACTTGCTGCTGTATTGCCTGTAGTTGAATTGTTTTCGTATCAACGGTACACGCCTGTTGTTGTTGCTGTGGTTGCTGCTGTACTTGCTGTTGCACCTGTTGCTGCTGCTGAACTTGCTGTTGCTGCTGCTGTTGCGCTTGCTGAGCCGCAGCTTGAGCGGCTTGTCTTTGTTGTTGTCTAAGTATACTTGGTGGCGGATCCATATGCTGACGTTGATGTAATAACAAATGATTCTTCTGGAAGAAGGCCTTGCCGCATTTGTCGCATACGTGTGATCGTATGTGGCAACTGCCGTCTGTGTGACGTCGTTGATGCTGCGACAAGCCGTGTTTTTGTGCGAAACCGCGACCGCAATCAGGACAAATATGTGGCTTAGGTTTTGGTCCTGCACCCACTGGTGGCGACGTTTGCGTCGCGCCATGCATATGACTGACACCAGGTGTCCCTATCGGTCCGTTCATCTAAAAATACATTATTTATAACTTTACATTTATATTGTTAAATATATTTCACATTTTGAGCACATATTGTTACATTTATTCGATACTGAAATGTCTTTCAACATATCTTACTGAATTGGAATAAAAATCGAGTGATCGTTACCTGATGTGTTCCTGGAGTGTTTGGGGTAAGAAAATGTGCTGGAGTTTGCTGAAAGGCGGCTGCTAATCCACAAAGGTCCGTTACCAGTGTTCGATCACCAGTATGTAACCTCTGATGCAAATTCAGAGCTTCTCGATTCGGGAACTCCAACCCACATTCCCTGAAATGATAATTATCCATTAAGAAACGTTCATTTACTAGTAAGAGAGTTGGGTGTATCCCTTATAATAATATTGGTAATACAATTTGTATCTTTTCCTTCCATTCAAAGTGCAATCATACCATCAAGAGTAAAGTTTACGATTTTTGTCAAACTCTCAAATAAATTTACAAAGATTTTTTTTATCTTTGTAAGCAATACCGATGCACATTAAATCGTGTTTACATGTACGAAATTTGTTTTCTAATAAGTTTTACTTTTCCTCGATACAAAGGAACCGTAACCCAAGCAGCCAAGCCTGTAGAGAACAGATTTCAGGAAACTCTGTCTCCAAATTATGTCGAAAGACTACAGATGTGATACAGGCTCTGATATGTCACATGATGTCGGCAGAACATCAATAGAAATATAACATAACAAAGCTTGATAACATGTTTAGACAGCAGATTGGTGGCAGAAATCGAGCAGATCCTGCTCACGCAACATTGGCAACAGATTGCGGCAGAACCCGAGCAGAATCTGCTGACATAGTTGTGTCAAGTTGCTGACAAGTTTGTCGGCAGATTGGTAACAAAACGGAACAAACTTTGTCGTTTAGTAGCGTAACGTTCCCGCTAGATGGACACACGGCATGACACTTTTTCTCTCTCTCTCGTAAGAGCAGCATTATAAATTAACACATCCACGTGAGATCATTCGGTCACCTTTTTTAAGTGCTGAAATGAGCTTTCTTGCACTCTTGTCTACAAGTGTGTAGAAATCTTTAAGGACTTATATACTTACTTATTTAAACGCATCTTTGTAATGAACGAAACAAAAACGGTGAAAAATGTAAATTAAAGGGCAGATCCTGCTCAATTTCTGCTGCCAATCTCCGATCAAGCTGCGCCACTCGGAAGGATCCGAGCAGGAGCTCAGTTTTTGCCACCAATCTGCCATCAAACTGCACTGCGCAGATCCTGCTCGGTTTCTGCGGACAATCTGCTGTCCGTGCATATCAGCAAACTCTGGCGGCAGAACACAAGCTGAATAAGGACATAGATAATGTCAATCTGCTAGAATGTTTTGATGAAATCTGTCGCCAGTCTGTCTACAATCTGCTATCATTTTGCTTACGGGGAAAGAAAGAAAAAGTTGATTCCATTCGCACGTCACAATGTGTTTATCAACCAATGTTGTGACATATAGAGTGGTGAGCGTGGCGCAGAGAGATATTTGCTACTTGGTAAATAAACGAACAAAAAGATGAAAGTTGAAGTTGAGCCAAGACTACGACTTTTTGTTAGAACGCCCCCTCTCGGATGAAAGTGGCAACAACCGCCGAGAGAATCCTAAACCACATACACGTCCCGTTGGGGGTTGAGCAGAGTAGGTTGACAACCTACTCCCAGAAAAACAACTCCTCGGTACCTCAAAGGAGGCCTCGGATTGGAAGCAAAGACTTGGAGGAGACCCGAGTCCGACTTGGACCGTTTGGCATATTGGACAGATAGATAATTTGTTTCGGTCTCATAATCAGTTTTGTGCACTTGATCGTGCGGTCACAGACTGTTTCTGTGATTTCTGAATTATGACTGAATTGATAAAATTTCGGAAATAACGACACTCAATGGATAGCCCTATTAAAAGTTGTACCGTATGGAGAATGAGTTGTTGAGACAAAGTTGCTAAATACTGTACGCGCAGCTACGTTGCGTACGCATAATCTTACCTGCATGTAAGGGACTTTTCATCGGTATTTGCATTATTGTTGTGAATCTTAGAATGAGCGACCAGGTCCGCTTTCCGAGGGAATGCTTCTCCGCAAACGGTACAAGCGAAGGGTGTCTCGCCCGTATGTAAACGCATATGAGCTAAAAGTGTTCTCTTCTGCAGAAACTCCTTTCCGCATACGGTACACGAGTGTGGAACTCTGCCGTGTAGCCGGCCGTGATTAACTAGCTCAAACTTCCTCTGAAATGTCGCACCGCAGTCGTGGCAAACGAATGGATGTAGGCTGCCGTGGAAGCGTGAATGCATCGTAAGGTGGTCCTTTTGCGAAAACGACTCCCCGCATTCCTCGCAAACGTAAGGTCTCTCCCCCGAGTGGAATTTACTGTGCGTCACCAGGTGACGTTTGAGCGGGAACGCTCTTCCGCACTCTTGGCAGACAAACGGCCGCTCCCGCGTATGCACGCGAGTATGCGTCACAAGATGATGCTTCAGCGTGAAAGATTTTTTACATTCGCGACATTGATACGGCCTCTCGGCGCTGTGCAGTAGCAGATGCGTATGGAGACAGTGTTTGTGCGCAAAACTCTTGCCGCAATGAACGCAAATATGCGGCCGTTCGCCAGTGTGTACTCTGGCGTGTGTGGTGAGATGATGCTTGAGTAGGAAGGACTTGCCGCATTCCGAGCAGGAATACGGTCGTTCTTTCGGTACTCGGACCTGACTTCCCATGTCCTGCTGCTGCTTGACCTTGGTCTCGATCTGCGTCGTGTTTACATGAGTGAGGACATGGCCGAAGTGAGCGGTATTGTCCGTCTGGCTGGTCGCGACGTTGTTGGTCGTACTGGTCTGATTGGACGCAGCGGCCGCTCTCTTCATCAAGATCTCATTGCACTCTTCTGCCGTGAGCTGCAACGGTCCGAGCGGTGTCATGAAGTGCTTGCTCATGGCGTGCTTGTCGGCTGTCGTAAAAACTAAGGTGTTTGAGAATAAGGAAGGCGGGGGCGTGGGATGCGCCGCATCGCAATTACAGCCCCCTTTGTCGCACGTCAGTGAAAATACGTCGTGATGCTTTTTAGTGCGAACGTGAGTGCCATGGGTAGTTTGATTATGCGCTCCGCCGGTATGGCCATGATGCGTCGTCGGTGTCTGCTGACAACTTTCGTTCATCACAAACATCGGACGACGGTGAGTGGTGGCGGTAACCTTGGTCGGCTTGATGTCGACCGGTATCTTCTGACTGGAGCCTTGATCCTGGTTATTGTTAACGGCGTAACTGATGTTGGTCGCGAGGTCGCTCTGGGCGTTCTCCCGGGTCTCCGTCCCTGGCCCGCCGAAGGACCAAGCGTAGGACCCGAATCCCGTGCCCGCATTCCCAGGAGTGGTACACATAGTCGTGAGGGTGGCGATGGGTGGGTTAGTCTGGCTGGACGCGGCACTGGTGCGTTGCTGCTCCGTTGCTGCGTTTGTCAATGCATTGTCCGCGCCAGCCCTCTCCACTATAACAAACTGATCCGTGGGAAAGATTTTGAGAGGCTCCAAATAAACGTACCCGTCACGCTCCAGTATCTCGGCCTTGCTGGACAAATCTGCGGACGAAACCTGTCATATCTGGATGCCGCGACAACGGCCGTCGAACGGGACGCTACGCGCGAGCTCGACGCATGCGGTGTCCTCCAAGCCCGGCTTTATCGGGAGCTCTGTTCGGGCAGCACGCGGAGCGGAGGGTGCTGCAAACAAGGGAATCTATGGTGAAACGATTTCACCGCAGCGACGAGAGCCGTGCACCCGAGGCGCTCACGCCGTTCCCGGGGTTCCCGGGGTTCGCGATGCGCGATGCGCGGGCCCCGAGACACGAGAGCTGAGCTTCCGTACGTCGGAGATATCAGGACGAGGCGGCCGTTTTTCCTAAGGCCCGAGTCGAGCAGTCGCTTTCGTATCGTTGCCGCGCCACTCTACACCAATAGAAAAAAGCACGCCGCACCACTCTTCTATGTGTTGGAGACCATAAGTGATTTCCTCGTTTCGGTCTTTCGAGCCCGCGGCGTCCACGGGTCTTGGAAAGACAACCTCCACCTACCTCCCGCGCCGCTCCCACACTCTCACTCGTGCTCCGCGCACTTTTCCCGTGCTTCGCACTCACGGGGCCACGTTTTGACTTGGACGCACGCACGGCCGACGGTCATTAATTTTACATAATTGCATATTTTATTGTCCATACAAACTAGCCTCACATATCGGCCATTTTATTTGTAAACTACCAAAAAACAATGTTGCCAATATGTACGCGCGATTTTGGAGGGAGCGGAGGCGCCGATAGCGTCGCCGGAGCGCTTCCGTGATGGCAGCACTTTTCCTTGTTTGCCGACGGCGCGTCGCGCGTCGCGCGCGCGCCGCGCACGGCGCCGCACACCGCACCGCGGCAACCACGCGCACTTTTTCCGCCATATTCAACAGCCGCCGAGGCCCGCCGCCGCGACCCTCTTCGCCGCCCTTTACCGTCCTTCCAAGCCCTTATCGCTCCATCTGTCTCTAACAGTTTTCCTACGCCGATACCTTTCGCACGTATCAACTAATCAATGTCTCCAAATATCCCGACCATTTCCTCTCCTTCCATCTTTCAAATAGCTACACTAATATGGCTGCCTTCTCACTCTTTTGTTACTCACCGAATATTAAATAAGGATTAAGTGATACACGGGGACACTCGGGTGATGTTTCCGAACGCAGCCTATACAGGGTGTTATGTAATTACTCGCCTCACCTCTTGCAATAGTACTTCAATTTTTATAAATATTTCTGTATACATGAAAACTCCAAAGAGATGTGCACACAAATGTTTATATACCAAAGTTGGAGTACTATTGCAACAGCATATTCGTGACGCCAAATCAAGTCAAAAGGTCCTGTATCATTTTCCTCACATGATGATTATTGAAAAAGTTGCCAAGTTGTTTAAATATTGCAAAAAGTATTAGACAAATAAGAAAAATGTTTCAGACAAAAGTTGTTCCAATTAATTAATAGAAAAAGACGATATAATAAAAATGCAGGTTTTTATTTAAAAAATTCAAGATTACCTTCATGTAACCTTCAAACGACTATCCAAAGTCAAACCAATGATCCCACCTTATGTCCCCCTTGAAACCATATAACTTTTGTCTGAAACATTTGTTTCTAAAATGCATAGTTTTTGAAAAACGTAGGGGTTTGCATACCTTTTTTCCTCACCCTGTATATGTAGTTTTCAACATAGACAGTAAGACTAGACTGCGCGTTCCCTACCTCTCCCGCGTTGAGAACATGTACAAACTTTAGGAAAAGATAGCTGACAGTTGAGTGGTCGCCTCAGCTTTGTCTAATAAATAGTGGGGCTAACAAAAGAGCAAGGGAAAGGACAGAGGGCGAGCGCTCGAAGTATGTTGTCTCTTTCTAAAGTTTGCGCACTGCCTCAGCCAAGCGCGCAGTCTATATGTTATACGTCTATGGTTTCCAATGGATTTAAATCAATTCGAAAGTAAGAGGGTCCTCGATCATTGTGCACGTTGACACTGTTCGGTAATGCAATAAAAGCAATGATATAACCGTGGCAGCAGGGTCTGAGCGGGACTCGCTGATCAATGGGCGATTCAATATCGAGCGGTGATCAATAGGCGTCAGCGATTACGCCGATCGTTTTCGTCATTTACGGCCGGTGTGTGGCGAGTTATGAGACATAGCGGTCTCTCTAGCTAGGTGATACGAGGACAGAAACAGCTCCATCGGACGGCTGGTCATCGCCGGCGCTGGTAGCGCGAACTCAGCAACTGATAAGCAAGCCGGCTCGTTAATGGTCCGGCATCATAGCCTGGCAAAAAGCCAATATATGCCGTTAGAATGAGGGAGTCTTACGTTCATTCTCCTGTATTCCAGCCTCCACCTTTGTGGAGCCGCGTTTGTGTATCGTAAATATATGTTAAATTATCTCGCGCAGTTGACGTATGACTCATATCTCGCCGCTTAAAAGCCGTCATACTTCAAACAATGCACACAATACCTGGTGAACGATTTTCTCACAATTGTTCATTATTTTTATGTAAATGTCACAATTTTTTGATATTTTTTAAATAATTATATTTTTTTTAGAAAATTTTCAAATTTTTTTATACAAATTGGTACACTTTGCAAAAATGCCGAGAAAGTTTATATATTTTTTAGATTTTTTACGTGTATGAATCCTGAAAGATTCCAAGATTGCTCTATAATTTCAGACGCAATCTCATAAGATTAAAAAAGAATTGTTTAAAGTTTTTCCGAAATTATAGAATAAGAAATCTTAGAAATGGAATATTTCAGAACACGCATATCTGAAAAATGTAGGAAAAAGAAGCGGACTTTCTCAGTATTTCTAAAAAGTGTAGCAATCCGTGTAACGATTGTAATGCGGTGTAAAGAGTCAACAACTTTATCGTTAATCATCATTAATCGTACACAGCTTTCTCAACATCTGGAAATCGACGCGCTAATCAGACAACCGTTTGTCTTCGTCAGGTGAGGTTTTTTTTTCTTCTAACTCATCTAACTTTTATACAACGACGACACTGTTTCTGAGGCTCGGTTAATAATTATTCCAATTGTTTCTGCGACAGCGTCACGAGATGGAGAATCGCGTGGACAGCAGCCATTTCCGACGGAGCGAAAAATGTATAGCCGCTTAAAGCAAAGTGCGACGGCAGATGCGTTATTTATGTAGCGGTTCGCTAAGTACGTTTCGTTGTGTGATAGCTTCGATTCTGACGATCGGGGGTTACGGATCGCCGACGAGGGGTGGTGTATCCTCTGTATTCTCTCTTTTTACAAGGAAGAGCCGGCGCGGAGAAGCGGGGAGTGGAGGACCCGAATCCTGAGGCAGTGGACCGTGAATGCGATACCAGCTTCACGTAGTGCGTCGGTGTGGGAGGGGCAGAGGGGCGAGGGGCAGGGGGGGAGGAGGGGGGGAGGGGGAGAGGTGCCGTCAAACAACCGTTCGTCGATCGTCCCTTCTCGGTACAGCCATACTCATCCCTGGCTTCGTCCTCCTCGCGTCAGCAGCAGGGGGTGATTTGTACGTATCAATTATGTCTTCCCGCTAGCAAGGGACCATCGATGGCGTCGCTATCTCTCTCCTATATCGCGATCCGATGATCCAATGATTTTCACGTGCGGATTTTAAGCGTTCGTCGAACGTTGCGCGGAATATAAATTACAATCGATCCCAGCCGCGATACTCTTTGTTAAACGTCACGACACTCTGTCATTCCAATTTCACGTATAAGGTAAACGACGATGGAGAAATGTACGATATTTCAGGTACGAGTTACTTGGAAATATTGAATTGGAGATTAAATTTCTCCGGAGGGGAAACCGCGCGTGTATCTAAAGCGAAAAAAACTTGAATAATTATAGCGCAATCTTAAATTATATAAATAAATTTGAGTTATTACACGGAGGAAGATTTCTAAATATAAATTTCCGAATTCATTTGTAACACATTATCGGTCTATTTATTACCTTCATAAAATATGATAATTGTTTTTAGGGCGATAGAGAGGAAACTGGCCGGCATTCTTTTCCCTTAAATAAAAGATGATTACCTAATGAGGGTCATCGATGGTCTCTGGAAAATGGGCTCCAATCGTGGACAAGGTCTACACACAGGGTGTCTCAACATTACCGTGAGTCTCCTTTGTTACGAAGAATCTACTAAGAATATACATTTCACTATTTAAGACGCAATACGGTGTACTTTTGTTTTTAAAATATTTAATATTGTCGAATTTAATATAAGACAAAAATGCTCAAACTCATCATCCAATACATTCCAATACGCGTATACATTCTGACAGGTGCGAAAAGAGGATTAGTCGCAAAAGAGAGAAGGAAAAAGTACATAGGAATTAATCATATATTTCTCTAAATATGTTTTCCGTTTAAACATCAATACACATTAAGGGCCTGCACGAAAGCCGCGTTATAGGCACGATTGAAATCGCATTACGATTATATTACTCCCAGGAGTAATCCGGCGGCATACACGCACCGTGCTGTTCGTTTGAAAATCTACTTCGCCTAGGGGACCGCTCGCCATCGGAGACGCTTTTTCTATTCTCGAGAGAGAACGCGACACTGGGCTCCTTTGATCTGGCGAACGGAGCAACTTTCAAGCTTTCGCAAGTGACGCAGATGGTTATGATAATAATAATAATTCGATCTTCAGTCTCCGGTGGTCCCGGCTTCTTGGCGCGAGCGCGCGCCTGCATACCAACGCGCACACTTGCCAGAGTTTATACCAACTCACGCGTACAACGTCCACGTCTACGTGAAGCTGACGACTCTCAGGGTCGATTGTGGACAATACGAGTGGATGGAGTAGCTTCGAAATCGATCGAGAATTAATCCGGCGCTATCGCGTCTTGCAACTGTTGTCCCATTGTCTCATCGCGAACTAAAATGAAAGGGCGGAAGGGAGAGAGAGATGCGGATAAATTGCTGGAGCAAGACGCTCGAGCTTTCCCTCTTCTTTCCCTCATTCATCCGGCGTTTCTTCGAAAATCTTAACGCCTATCCCTCGTTTACTGTCTCTATAGGTTCCGCGGACTTTCGAGTTTCATTTAGCGGTCGCCAAGCTCCTCTCGATCGTTACGCTCGTCTGTGGAAAGCTCAGAGTCAAAATCGAAATTTTGTGCCCGCTTTTAAGCGAGCAATAATTAAAGAAATTATCGCGCACCATTTTGTAGCAATTGCATCGCGGCTTCCGTAGGGTTAACCGCATCTATCGCTTACAGCACATCGTTCAACGCAAAACCGGGGACCACGTCCCTCTCCGCTCGCCTCTCTTTCTCTAACGCCTCGACCACTTGCGGTTTTAACTACTTTCGACGATCCCTCCCCGGCCTCGGCGCCGCGAGTGCCGAGTGTGGCGAGAATTATGTAATTATTGCGCGGTAATTGTCGCGAAAAATGACGGCTGCCTGAATGCCTTAAGTGTCGCGAGGAAAGCAGCCCGAAAAGGGGGTCAACTCTACGACTCGCCCCGTCGAGATTCCTCTGCGAGGGTGTAGGTCGAATCGAACCCCCGCCAATGTGCATTATTAAATTAACTTGTTAACAGTCGTCCCTGACAAGTTTCAAAGGCGAGAGAATTTTTATTTGCAAAGACAGATTAAGATAATTCAGTCGTTGCAGCTTTCTAAGTTTTGTACTCGCTAAAAGTCTACCACTGAAAATTGCAGTGGTATTTAGTTGCCACGTGTAGTCTTTAGCTACATTTACTGAAATTGTCAAAACAATCAAAGCTATATCAATGTCTCGAATTTAGGGGGTTGGCGGGTTATCTGAATTGCAAAAACGTCTCAATAAAATATCTTGCCGCCGGGAAGACGATGATGTATAAAAGTGATATACATATATTGGATGTTCCAGACCAATTGCATTTCCTTTCAATCGCGGACTGGTACTACCTAGCTCACCGCCAGATTCGTAACGGTGATTAGCAACGAAGCGTTCAAACGCTTTCGACGCTACTGTCCGACAGAAGGCCGAGGGAAGGTCTTCGGCGTTTGATACTAGGACAACGGGGATAAGTTTGGTCCAGCTTGCTTTAGCATCCTCGGGATCGTGCATATAAAGACGGCAACTCGTTCGCGAACCCTCGAGAGCAGGGACAATCGCGTACGGCAGGAATTACCTCCTCACTCACGGACCCTCATCTCGCCCTTCGCTTCGCCTTCTCGCCTTTTGCCTCGCCGTAGTCCTTTTCTTCTGTTATATACCTCCTTTCGAGTGGTACACTAGGCGACATATATACGCTTACACCTGAGATTAGACTTTCGGCTCGAACGCTCGTATTTAGAGCGTGCGTCATTAATTGTCGAGTAAAATATCTATTTTTGTTCTACGTTGACTCGATATGTAACCTTTTAACTATGCTGAACCTTTCATATCAAACGCAATTGTTTTCAATTGTCAGATGCAGCTTTAAAATTATAACGAACGATCTGGATGCGATTCGATCTAAGAGCGTCTAACTTTCGACACGGAAATATACACGACGCCCAGTGTACTCTTTCTCACGCTATAGACCGCCCGCACCTTTTTCGCCCTCCAATGGCGTTGGAGTCATAACTACAAGGGCTACAATGGACGGAAAACCGTCGCCGCCTTTTCTCTGCCACTTTGTCGTTCCGCCAAATGATTTTGACCGCCGCGATTTCACGCGCGTAAAGTCGTCGAGGGGATTCACAAAAGTAAAATTCATCTTCTTGACCACCGCGGGACATCTTACATTTGCCGGTGTTACGTCGCGCCAGCTCTTAAAGATTATTCCTTTCAAAGACTAACTAGAAATTGATTTCCTTTGCTTTGCAACTATTTGTTGTCTTCTTAATTTCTGGTACACATCTGGAATAGATTATTGTTATTTTATCCACCATTGTACGTTTTTTGTACATAAAAATTATAATTTTTAACAATACTAAAGCTTTGTAGTCGACATTAACCAGCCAATGTTTTAAGTTACAGAAAATTTATTGCGAAAAATATTACTTCAGCCAAGGTTTGAACCTGGACTTCCCTATTCTCTAGGCGGGCGTCTCACCAATTCGACCAGTGAGGCTTGTATATATATGTATAATATTTAACCAGAAAATGAAAAACCGGGCCTTAATTATGAAATAATGTATTCTAAGGTTATCTATAACAAAAGGTAAAACAAAATGCCATTTGTACTAAGGTTTGCAGACACGCGTAACAACGCGAAGAACAATACGCACGACCGCAGGAACGGAAGTTAATCGCAAGTTTCGCACGAAAAATGACCTTTAGTCTCATACGAGACGATATTTCACGAAACTCGCGGTCAATGATAACCACGTTTGTCACATGGTTTTGCATAATTTATTATTGTCGAGCGATTCACCGACGTGCTAACGCCGTTTTATATCATAATAATGAAAGAGAAGTGAAGAACTCGGGTAAAACAAGTAACTTGGTAAATAGAGCGTGTCTCTATACACTCACATACCTCATACTTTATATCAGTGTAGAATTTAAAGTTACTGGTAATTTTAGCAAGAATCTAATCATCTGGCATCGCGTTTCCCTTGATAGAAATAAGATCGAACGTCACCCTTTTTTTCACCGCCATTAAACATAAGTTCGCGATGAAATTTTTCTTCAAGTTTATTTAAACTTAGATCGGTAGCTTCGTCATTTACTATTAATGCCGGAAGTTGATGAAACTAATTGTTATTGAAAATGAGGAAAAAATATTGAATATTAAAAATCGCTCATAGATAAAGTACTGTCGACACTTGTGGTGGAGATTGAAAGGATCCGAGAGGATTGAAGCGAACATGTACGAAATTAAGCGACGAATTTTGAAGTCACCTTGTATAATCCGATTACACGCGTGTTTCGCGATAAGCGTGCGGAAGGTCGCGACCGATATCAGCATATTATGTCATCGCGCGCGCGGGCTTTTTTGCAATTGGCCGCGCACGGTTACGTCGAAAATCTCGAATATCGATGACCGCAAGGTGCAGTGACGCGCGGTGATGGATGCATCAGCGGGACCAAAGCACCGGCATTTACCACAGTCGTTCGAAGGCTGAAAGAAATCGACGACGGCTCCGCAGCCTGGGCCACGCCGAAGGGAAAAGAGAGAAATTGGCGAGTAAGACGGAAAGAAAGAGCAAGACCGCGCGGAGATTAGATCCCGCGGGATGAGTAGGTGGGATTGGATTTGGCAGGCGCGCGGCTCGTTGGCGGTGGATGCCGGTGATGCGAAGGAGTAGGACAAGAAGAAGGGGGTGGAGTTTGGTTGGTGTCCGAACGGCGGAGAGGCTACCGAAGGGAAACTCGGAGTAGGGTAGACTATTGGAAGTGCACACGTAGTAGAGCAGGACGGGGGAAGAGCGGGCAAGAGACGAGATAGAGAGAGAGAGGAGGCCGTAAGTGACAGAACGGTGGTGGTATAGGTGAACTGCTGGACAACCGAACCACCCGAACTGTACTCTGTACTCGGCGGTATTTAAGGGAGAGCCGCGAGCGTAGCGCGCCAGTTGTTGGTACGGTCGGTTGGTGGTTGGCTTTCGCGGACTGACACTCGCTGGATCGTCACGTCGCGTGGCGCCGAGTGCAGTTACGCGAATAAAAACAATATATACATACATAAACTCTCAATAAGCAATCTCGACATATTTTATAAAAAATAATCTTAAGAAAGCTTCATCGAAGAGATCGCTCAGTGATGCTTAAGGTGAACCAGACGACCACGTGCACCATTTATTTTCGTCGATTCTTCCGTCGGATTATCACGATATAATTAAATATCTTCTCTTTCATGGTAATAAAACACGATCGTAAATACACAAGTATAAAGTTAAGTGAATATATGAGGGACTACGAAGTTTCTCTTCAGACCGGCGACAGCGTTATGTGAAAATATACATATGGCATTATTTGGACTCTTCGTGCTCGAAGATCGAACCAATTTGATATTTTTGAGTCTCGGATGGTACGGATGAGTGTATCAAAAAGGTATGTGCACGTTTGTCGTTCATTTCACGTGACTTTGAAAAAGAAAGCGATAACTATTTTTTTAATGATTTCAATTTTTAACTTTTAATTTTAACTTATCAGTATCTAAGAATGATAATAATAATAGCCAAATAATAAGAAAATATAAAGGAATCTAAGTATAGAAATTTAGGTATAAGATGGATGATTACTCTGAACTCGCGATACCAAAAATAAAGATAAGTAAAAAGTGTAAGATAAACAAGATGACGTGATGTTTTCGTGATAGTATTTCCACGAATAGCGTGAGAAGTCGTGTACAGCGCGTTAATGTAAATATACATTCACGCCAGTAAATATTGTTGCATTTACATTTTTCATTTTCTGTAACACACGTCTGTTAACTGCGCATTTACTAAAATAGTTCCAACTGTTATTTTACAAGTGACGAGAAAAAATATCGACAACGACCGATTAACGAAACAGGATATTTGAATAATTCTTTTTAAATTGAAAAAAAAATAATAGAGATGTAATTTGTATAAGCGAATACAACTAAAGAAGAATTTTTTCATATTTGTTACACATTTTCATAGTTTAATTGTTTAAAGACATTGTGTGCTTTTTTATTTTACTTAAAATGTTACGTTTCTGTTTCTTACGTCTTATTTTCTGTCACATAAATTATCCTTTTAAAATTTGTTCTTATCGCTTGTTCTTATCCTTCACGTCCAGTAGAATTAATTAAGTACTCTGTTTTTATCGGGTCACCTAGTACATCCCGACCAAGAATTTTTAAGCAAGATTAGGCAATAGGCCTACGGCACGTTACACGCGTAAAGATGTCTGGTGATTTATTTTATGTTATGGCTCTTGGATTTAATTGCCGTAATAATTTCTAAAATTATCATGTAAATTTGGTTTTGGTAATAAGCGATGTAATTTAGAATCCTCGAAAATGTGATATTATAAATCATTAATATTTATGAACAATGAATAGTGCTATTCATTCCATATAAAAAATTCTTTTGTACAAGATGTAGGGGAAGAACATTGAAATATTCAGCAGAATTACACAAAATATCCGTATAATTATTTTGAGACGGGAACTGTGGACGACAGTCTTTTTCGCGTCGGGGAGTGCCTTGCAAATTCAAGTTCGTTGTACCTTTATTCTGGATTTTGCTTATTAAAGAAAAATTTCAATGTTGTTCTGACTCTACGCTTGCACACATAAGTTGGAGACACGTTACAAAAGTCTGACGACTTTTTGGAATAGGTACCCGATGCTACTGCTGCTGGCATTGGGGTTGATTTTCACGCAATCGTCCGTTGGAGCTTTAGCACGAGCAGGTACATATTTTGCACGCTCGAATGTTTCGTCCGAACTCACCGGGACGTCTTCCAGTCACAGTATTTCGGTCATCAGGATCTTGTCCGATGGACGAGTGGAACGGTTCATCCGGTGGCCCGGAGCCTGCGCCAAGGAGATCATTGTCAATTGGGGGTGGGCATAGCCGCATTTCTCTTTTCACATGTTAATACAATTGAAATAGTTAGACCGAGTCAGGCAGCTTTAGATACATTCCTATAACAAATTGCCCCATTGTGTTACATCGAGGTCTGAACTCGTCGATGTTGCTCCGCTTACACGCTTTCTTTCGTGAAACATGGGTCGAGTGTTTTCATAGTAACAAAGGCCAGCGTGTAGTAACCTGTGCTCTATCCTCTTTCCTGAAATAACATTTTCTCGGATACAGGCAAATCTCTTCTTCCTATCCCACCCAACGTCCCGCCCGTATGTAGATAGTCGGGAGGATTGAAGCGGCAACTCGGTTGGCAAGCACACGAAAACAATGCCGCCTTTCACTATTGCCAATATACGTGGAAGCTTGACTGTTATGTGTACATTTAGCGTCGGTTAGGTCTTTCAAATGCCACCCATCGCTCCGAAGAACGCTGATACAGTCTAATGAAAACGGTCTCTCTGTGAATCCTTGTCAGCCGTTAATAAGTTTCAATACAATTGTAACGCCGCGTTAACGCCTGCGGGAAGGATCGATGCTCAGGCGAATGAATCAATTTTATTTTTTCTCTATCGGATTTTTCAAACAAACAATTCTTTTTTTCGTATTAATGTTTGCATATATCTGCTAATATTTACAATACTGACAAATTTTTATCTTGCGTGACAATTCTATTTCCATAACAATTGTTAATAACCGTGTGAAAAATATACAGAAAGTATATTTAAAAACTATATATTCTTTTCTGAAATATATAATTGTTTGAAATAATAAGAAGTGGAGATGAAAGAAAGTATTATTGTTACATAAAGATGTCGAAAATTAATAATTAACGTGATCAATGACAAAAAGCACTATTTCGTTAAGATGCGTGAGAAAGAAAAGACGTACCTAAAGATATGCGTTCGTAAAAAACACATGAATATATAAACGAGAATTCGTTTAATTTTGTATAAAATATAATAACGATGACAAAACGGCGTATAAAGTGCAACAATATAATTGTTATTCCATTAGATTTGAAAGCCAAAAAAGGGGATACAATTTATCATGTTTATTCGTTGACAGTAACCACAAAGCCAACCAAGCTCTTAAGCCGAAAAGCGGCAAGTTAAGTAAGCAAGGATTAGGTTCTGCGACGAGCGGATGTCCTGGAACCTCTACGTAGGGATCGGATTGGCCCCTTTTGCGTTGGACCTAAACGTAGTTCGGTAGGTCGCCGTCCTGTTTTACTCTCCTAGATGGGACTCATCTGCTGATGCTCTCACGAGGATACCACGGAATACCACAACCACGAAGCGTCACTTTGCACTTAAACGCAGGACGAAAGCTCTTTTACCGTCGTGAAGAAAGTGCACGCCGCCCTGCTTTCCGTTCACCGTCCCCTCTTTTCGAATTTGCTCTTGCCGGCTGAATAATTTGCGGAGAAAATCCAATTTTGTTTTTTTTTCCTTCCTCGTATTGCGTTATGGAACGTCTACGATAAACATGTCGTAAAATTGCGCAGATCTATAGAGATATGACGTTGATACTATTATAAGACGGTAAATAAACGGGAAGTTTATCAAGGTTGATGTTTTTTGGTACAAATGTTACTTTCGATGATTGTTTGGCGAGAATTATTCCAATTTGTTTGAAATGAAATTTGAACATTTTCTTTCATCATTGTGACGCGTAGGATTGAACGGAAAATTCGATAGTAACAACGTTGCTCTTTCGATAGAAACACGGACGTGACGCTGCGGCAAGTCTGGCTTCGTAAGTCGAGCAGAAAGCTGCAATTGATATACGCCGGCGAAACGTTGACCGACTGCATTGACGAGAAGCTCGCGTGGTGGGACGACAGCGAGTGTTTGCCCAGCTCTCGCGGTGTCTATCGCTATCACGATGACGGTGACGAGGTGTCGATCGAGACGTTCCAACTGGACGGTAAGGGCATTTCGAGGACACCCCGTGACCTCTCTTGGCTGCTGTCGACATCGGAGCTTCGTCACCGGTGCGATCGCATGAGGATGCGAGTACGGAGCCAAGCCACGGCCCAGCGTCGACATAGGTGCGAGTACCATCCCTCGTACTCGCTACGTAAGCGAAGACGATAGGTGCACCGTAAAAAAGTGAGCTTCCTTTGTAACAGGAAATACGCAAAATCGACAAACGCGACAGCGAGTAATGGAAGGCAAAGTCGGAGTCGGAATCGGATTCGAAGGGAATTATTCATGATACCAGGGACGCAATGGTGCGGCCGTGGTGACCGTGCTACCAAGTATACCAATTTGGGCGGCTTCGGCATGGCTGACGCCTGCTGCCGAAAACACGACACATCTTGTCCATTTTACATACCGGCGTTCGAGACGCGTTACGGCGTTTTCAATTGGAGAATTTCGAGCATGATGCATTGCGCTTGCGACGAGCGGTTAGTAGTGAGATTATTAAATAACACCGTCTGAGAAGAAATGCTCGTGGGAGAATATCGAGTATGTTCGAGCAATCGTCACCGATTGATTTTTTCGAGAGTTCATCTTGAGAAAATGTTCATTGGACTTGTTTAATGCATGCATTGTAAACAGTGTGGTCGATATTCGATACAAGTTGTTTGGTGCACTGATGTTAATTAACAAATGTCGCGAAATTCATTATCGATGCAACAATTTCTACGCTTTTTTGTGCATGTTACAGATTTCGCACGTGTTTAAAAATGGCCGGGACTACGTCGGCGGATTTTATAGGCAAAATCTTCTTCGACGTACTCCAATCAAAGTGCTTTATTTTGAAACCGCAAAAGATATGCGTGAAACGGTCTTGGTGGGGTAAATGTCAGCATCATGAGTATCGAAAGCAGGCCTATGTACGAGATAATGTTCCTTACTAAGGGTGTACAGCATAAGAGATTATCGTAAAGAAATAAAAATGAAGTATTCTTCTTCCGGGGATGTCAATAGCAATTCTCAGGGATATCATATTTTGTCGAATACTTGTAATATGTCAAGAGACAAAGAAGAAAGCTCGAGTCGATTATTAAATCGAAAAATTATATCACCAAAGATACGATTGACAATACATCGTAATGTCTTCAATAGAGAATCGTTATATCAAGTCTGCCGATAGCTATGTCAAACATCTTGAATAATGATTTTAAAAGCTAATGCACAAAATCTTTCCAATTTACTTAATTAACTTCCAAAGACGTCTTGCTCATCCTCCAATAAGTGTGTATTTTATGTGATATAATATATTACAACATATATTTTACAAGAACAAGAATTTTCTATAATAGCGCACATTTGGCAACTGTTTATTTTTAAATTTAAATGAATTACTTGTTTCCTCTCATTTAAAAGTTTAATTGCAGAAAGTCGACATAGGTATCGGCGGTCCTTATATAGAGTTATATTAAACTTGTAGATAGAATTCGTTAACTTTTAAATATTATTAGCAAACTATTAACGAATTAGCTTTTGTTCATGAATTATGAAACTTTTACATAACATTCCAAAGATGTAAAAATATATAAATAAGAAAAGATAACAAACTGCGTATAAAATATAATATATATCAATATTTAGGATAGAGCTTAGAATTTTTGATGACAAATTATTATATATATTGTATGTATTTATATTAGTTTTAAGCTGTACAAGATAAATCTAGATTTGATTAAGATAAATAATCTTATTTCTATTCTATTCCCAATATATGTTTTCGTTCCGATACGATTCGACGCGATGTAATTTGTATGGAGAAATCGTGTAATATGTTACATTAAGGCTGCGGTCAAGCTGCCGCTACAAATGTTTCAAAGCGATTCTCTTCTTCTTTTACCTGTACTGAAAGAAAGGAAACGAAGAATACTTTGAAACATTTGTAGTACTTAAAAAATTTAAGCTGCAAGTTTTCTGATCTTTTATTTGAAGAGAGTAAAGTCAATTTACACAGAAATAAAGTCAGATTTTATTTATATTTTTATCCCCTCCCAGCAAACACCAAAGTAACAATTAATGCAAATGTAATATAACAGGCATGTGTTATATTACATTTATATTGATTTTATGTAACTGTTACTTTGGTATTTGCTGGGCTTTAGAATTTCTATTGCTTTTGCTGTTTCTATCACAATGCTTTAAGTTGACACGTGTGTAGTTATTATTATAGGTGTGTATTACCTGCCTATGAACATGATAGTCACGTGGTCATCGCGCCTGTTTACACATGCGCGTAAAGTGCTGCATACCGCGTGCGGTGCGACTAGAATATACGCTCTTCCGTTGTCACGACGAGGTGTTAGGTGTTAACGTATTAACTTTCGATATAAAACGTTGCTTATAACATAACATGCGTGGCGCACAACATATGAAATATTAAGGAAAATTAACATTCGGAGTTAGCAAACTCGGATGATATGTCAGTAATTCTTAATGATTAAGCTTGCGCGAGGTTACTTGAAGATGCACAACACGTACGAGACGAGAGTGAAACAAGGCAGTATACCTTGTTTACGTACGGAACTGAATCTCGCTCTCACGTTGCACGGTGGTCAGAGTTTCAGGTAGTGCTAGAATACTATTTCTATTTGTACAATTTGTAATGAGCTAATACACATATGATTCAGAAAATTGTATTACCGTTACCCAAACAATATCCCAGGTGGCCGGTATGCTCAAGCAATGCATGGAAATAAAATGACAGCGTGCTGTTTCATGCTAGGAATATGAAGTCAATGTTTGAGTGAATCAAGTACAGCTAGCATAATGTTAACATATTGTCGCAGTTAAGTGCACAGCTAAAGAGGAAACAGTGAATGGGCATACTGTTAACAAATGGTTAGCACACATTGTTTTCAATTTTCTAACAGATATAAACATATATCTATTACATTTGGCCAAGCGCTTAATGCCAGTATAATGTTTGGATCATGCAAATGTTTAATTTCCGACATGAAATGCTAGCAAACAACAGCACAGTAAACGACATGGTTTCATAGCAAGATGCTAACATTCTTGTCAGTAATATGAAAGCAACTTGTGCTCACACTGGCTACCTGGGTTCTTGCGCGCAAATTTTGCTTGTCTTACGCATGCAAACTTATGAGATGCTGATGATTGTATTTCAGATGGACACTTTGCGAGTCAGAATACAGAGGCATCTTCAACGGATGCATTTGGACTTTGTCTCAAACTAAAACCCATCTCTTATACACCGTACAAGGGCAACTAAAGGATTCTGTAAACTACGATAATGTTCTGTCCGAATATTTGAGGCTGTCGGTACCATTAGAGAAACATTACAAAGAGTGGGCGGAAGCAGATACACATTTTCAAAAGTATATGGATGAAAGTAATGCTGTCCGAATACTGAAGCAGGATGTCGTGGAGAATTTATTCTCGTTTATCTGTAGCTCCAATAATAATATATCGAGGTACACTTTTTAACAAAGTAAAAATGAACTTGTATCAAAGATATCGTCAAACATTTATCTCTTTTAGGATATCAAACATGGTTGAAAACATGTGTTCATTATTTGGCCGTAAAATATGTTCGATCAAAGATAAAGATTTTTACGATTTTCCAACGATAGAAGTTTTGAAGGAAAGAAGTGTGGAAAGCATATTAAGAAGAGAGAAATTTGGCTATCGCGCTGCGTATATAGTTAATGCGGCAGAACGTTTATCAGCGTTAGGTGGGAAAGATTGGCTTTTGAATCTACAAAGGGAGAGTGTTTCTTACCACGCTGCCAGAGAACAACTGATGACTCTACCAGGAATTGGTCCCAAGGTTGCAGATTGCATATGTTTAATGTCGCTAGGTCATTTAGATGCTATACCCGTTGATACCCATATTTTTCAAATAGCACAGGCAAATTATTTACCGCATTTAAAAAAGCAAAAAACAGTTACGCCAAAAATTCATACCGAAGTAAGTGAGTATTTACGAGAATTGTGGGGTCCGTTGGCTGGATGGGCACAAGCTATTGTATTTTCTACAAAAATTAACGATAAATCTAAATCAAATGGAAAGCAAAAACGCACAAATAACGATGATGAAAATTTAGTACAAGCAAAAGTGCCTAAGGTGGTATGATTATTGTGAACTCGTTGCGTTTATTTTCACGAAGAGCAATGCAATTTTATCCACGCAGAAAAACTGTAATGCGTTAATTGTCTCTTTAGAAACAAATTTTGCATCGTTTATATATTTCGCCAAAATTTATGAATGATAAGAATATTGATTTTGGTAATGTATTCAAGTATATAAAGGAATGACATACATTAGTTATCTACTTTTTAAAGAAAAGAGATAATTTTTGTTTTTACTATCCATTGCGCTCGAAAGTATTAGACCATAGGACGATTGTTTGAAAATACTTTTTAAGAAATCTTTTATCTTACAGAGTATTACTTTTCTTATTTTTATATTAACAGATATATACTTACACAATCATTGTAAAATACGATTTATAAAATGACTAACTGAACACCTTACGGTGAAAGTGGATTTCTAAATTCCTAGATTTGACATGTATCACAGATCTATGTATGTATCTTTAACAACGTTTCTTCCTTTTTACTCCAAGTCCTACAAGGGCGTAATCAAAGTCATCTAAAATAATGTATTCTGCAGGAAATTCAATGTCTTCTTCCTGATCGTAATCTGTCGATATACAATAACCACAATTACTTATATGCGTCGTTCGTCTATAGACACATTTAAGCAACGTAGAACAAAATCTGAATTACCAATAGTCTTTTGTAGTATGTCAGCAAAGACATTTTGAGTAATATAGCGCAAACCAGGAAACTTTGTCGCTAGATGCGCCTTCTGCGAAGGTGACAGGACTGCTAGACAAGCAGTTTGCAGAGATACTGGTGTTGAGCAACTATAACTTAATTTCATTTCACACTGAGCCATTGTAGAACTCACTAATGGATAAAGCACAACGTTGTTCAACCTTGTAAAAGCCACGCCTGCAAAGGCATCAAAATCAAATCTTTAAACAGGATTTATGGTGAATTTGACAACTTACCCAGTGGTTTTCGATCGATAAAAAATTGTAACGTGCCGGTCCAAGTGTCGAGATGTACTCCTACTGAATTATTTTCGCCAAAACTCGTCCCATATTTACATGTCTTACCATCGTGCTGTAAATATCCTTTATATGAAAAACCCCAAGATTCTTGATCGCGTCCAAGCAGAGCACAATAATCCTCAACTGCATTATGAAGCTCTGCATTTGCAGTTCCTACACCGACCATCTAACAAGAATAATGAGAATTGAAGCAATAAAGCCTATTCCTTCTTTATTCTTAAAATGTTTATTTAGTTCATTTCCTAAATGTATTGGAAAGAATTGTTGGCAATGTAAACTCGGTGAGATGTCGAACAAACAACATACTATGTCAGTGCCATAGAGATGCGTTATCATTAAGATCTCCCAGAAATGATGCCTTCCTTTTTCCAATGGTTTGTTACCCTTTACAACGGCTGTGCCAGTGCTATACACGGGATGAAACGTCACGTTTAAATTATCGTCTGATAATTTAAGCGACGAGGACGTGAGTTTTTTATCCCAAGTCCACTCGTGCTTTGACGAAAACACGTCGTCTATATATAAAAAAAAGCATAATTACTACTTCTAAGGTTCAGTTCAACAGTGGTTAGTTAGCTTAAGTAGTTGTTAAGTAGTGATATCAACCAATGAAACAAAATTCGGTAATCTATTTACAAGGTTAGATTTTGACAAGTTGCATTTTCCCAAATAAGCTTAAAAATATATATACGTATATATTGAACACTAAAACAATTAATTTCCAGCTTCATTCTCATTATTACGATACCTCATCGCATAACAAAATGGATATCAAAATCACGAGACACGGTAGTGTCTCGCGCCAAGTATAAGCGACTAAGTATAAGCGACAAGCCTAACCACGCGCGCGACACCACCGTGTAAGTTTACGCGAGTACACGAGTTGACGGGCCCTCAGATTTTCGGATCTCAACAACGGCTGATCCGACGAACTTGAGACTGCGCTTAATCGATAGCTTGGGTACGATTTGCATAATAAAAGTGTTTTTACTTTTCTCCTACGTGCCCCATGAGTGGAGATATTGCAATGCATCCGCGTTACGCAGGAATAGAATACGGATTAAGAAACGTCTTTGTCGTTAAACTTAACCGTACACGAGCACCAAATTTTTGTCGAAAACCTAGTACTTGTAGCATTAATTTAAAAAAATACAAATTGATAATAGAAAATAAGCTGCATGACTGATGCTGTGAGTGTTAGAGACAAAGAAGAGGATTAGCTAAAGATATTGGACGAGTATAATCAGCAAAGCAACTGTCGCGCCCGAATTAGGAAACATAAAAAATTTCTGGATCAATGTTTCAAAAGACGCCAATGTTAAAATAAAAGGGAAACATATCTCGCAGGTAATTTAATTAACATTCAATTATTTGGACGCTTGTCAACATCTAACCTTGTAAATAGCTTACCGAATTTTGTTTCAGTGCTTGGCATTATTACTTAACAACTAGTTAAGCTAACTGGCCACTGTCAAACTGGATCTAAATATGCTTTCGCTTTTCCAGAAAAGAAACGTGTAACGCCTTAATTAGATATCTAAATAATAATTTACCATTTCCTGCCTCGTGTTGATGGCCATTTGTAATTAAATCCATATTTTTGCGAATTACTTCTCGACTATGGTATTTACGTTCATCACATATTTTCTAAAGTCGTCAGCTAATGTAAATCGTATTATCAACAGACCCATTCACTTTTTCTATGCACGCCGCTTGTTGCCGCTTGTAAACTCACGCGGAAAAACGACATGATTCACAGAGGGTCTGTTCTTTATTGCTGTACTCCTGAACTAGTGCACAGTGAGTTGGAATGAAGCTGGATTCACATGGAGCGTAACTTGCGTAAGCGTAACCTGCGTATCACCAATCACAGAACTATTTCAACGGAATTATTGAAACGGTTCTATCAGAATGACCCTGTGATTGGTGATACGCAGGTTACGCTACGCAAGTTACGCTCCATGTGAATCCAGCCTGAATGTTACAATTCGGGTCCGAATAAAAGTATGTTACATGCATAGAACTTATACACATGGAAAGGGAAAAGGAGCCGCACAAGTGTGTCCAAGAAGTGAGACAAAGAAACTATTTTCTACCTCGTTTATCTACCTGTCTTTCTATCATTCTGTCTCGTTCTATGACTTTTCCTCGAACTGCGCATGAGTGGCCACAGTGAGATTGTATTTGTAGATTGTGTACGTATATTGTGCATTTTCGTGTGAGTGTACCATTTAATGCATGCGCATAACGGACCAAAGTCATCTTCTATCTATCCTTGTCACACAGATGTTGGATACAGAGAAAACGCCAATTATCCACACACAAGCCGTACACACAATGGACACTTTGATAATGTATTCTGCGTATATATAATTATAGAAATGTCTGGGTATCCTGTCTGTTTATATACATATGTGATTTGATCCCAGAAAAAAAGAGGAGAGGATGCAAAGTGCAAAAAGTTCACCTACTACATAGAGACAAATCTTAAATCTATCGGCGGTGGGCCGCGCTATCGTCGAAATGGCGGGAAATTCAAATGCGCGTTCGAGATGTTCAACAATTTTTTTGAAAATCGTTCGGATAATTCTTTGCATTCGCTCCGCTATGTGGTGCAATTCTGACCGACGCGCTCATCGCAGATCAATTCTCCAAATTAGTTGTGACGCTTTTCTGAACCAAAAATTAATATTTTTTAAAATTTCTTATCGCGCATGAAGCGTGTGTAATAATACACGTATATTAGAGAGGGAAAGAGAGATAAGAGAGCGCGATAATTACATGTCTGCGTATAATTGATTTAAGAGACGTGAAAGAAAACATAAACGCGAAGAGATTGTGCACGTATATAAAATATGATAAAATAACAAACGTTACGAGTACACAACCGGAGTTTATTGCCCGTTGGAGACTAGGGTCCCCTGGGGTCCCCGCAACGCACGAGGTACCCGCTCCAGCCGTCGTTGTCTCGCCGCGAGAGCGAGACTCGAGAGCTCGAGTCTCGAGTGGCTCGAGAGTCGCGACGGCGCGAAGCCTTCTCGGCAGAGAGCATGCACATGACGCACGCGTGCGTGTACGTATGTATGTACGTGTACGTTTTTGGCAGACGTCCGACGTCGTTCGTCGACGGACGTCCGCGAGTTAGGGCCAGGCTCGTGTTCGAGGGGGGCGAGCATCGTCGGCGGCTGTCATGGGAAAAGCCTCTGAAAAAGCCGTAGGCCGCGGAACTCGAGTTGGATCGGTCGACGTGCGCCTCGCTTGAGACATCGGTGCGAACCTTTCGGCGCGCGCGAGAGAAAGAGAGAGACACCAAAGCCGTGGTTGCGAATGCGGTGCGTTGGTGCTCTCCCGTCGCGGAATTACATAATAATGTATATGCATGAGTCACGATTTGTCACACGGAGCGAACTGGGGGGAGAGACGGGGCGTGCAAATGTCAAAGTCATACGGCGCGATATGACGGGTAAATTTAGCCGGCACGTTTCTTCTCTCGCCCTTGGACAGCTGGCTTCCGCATCGTTCGCGTTGCTCGCACGATCGTAATTAGCACGGCGATCTCTCTCGTCTTAATATGTTTATATCCCGTTAGGATCAATTGACTATTGTTTCTCCCGACGTTGATCGCGCGCGATGCGCTGCCGTCAGGATATCGCAAGTCCCTCGGAGAATACGTTCGACTTTCGATCGACTTTGTCTTTTGTTCCCTCAGGTTATCGCGCTAATATCGCGTTAATAGTGGTATTTGTATTCATGGTCGTAGAGTCTTTTAAGATTAAACAACTTGACTGCCAAGAGACACACGTCTCGATGTGCTCCTCCCTTCAGATTGGCCTACATATACAGTACAAGACTCGTAAGAGTAACAATAACAGTAGCTTAAGTTGTTGATAATCTGTGCGTTTTTACATCAGTTCTATTCCAACATCCGATTACATTCTGCGAGATCAATTTGTCTGAGTTGTGTTCTTGTGAATCTTGCAGGGAATTCCAAGGAGCTTCCTAGAATGAATAAAGAATAGTTCCGTTGAATGTTGTGTCCAAGAGTCATTGCGAGCAATGATACAGATGAGACCTCTCGCGTCTATGGGTGACACTTCGTAGCTGTTAGAAACATTTGTATACACTTTTATACCAAATTCAGCGATTATTTATTTGCATTTTGGCATTGAGAAATGCCAGCACCATCCCCGACTCTCTCAAGCTTGCCAGCAGCACCTATGTGTGAGAAAACGGAAGTCAATGACACCGACTCTCTGCCCCCTTGGGCCAAAATCACACTTACGTCTACGGAAGCCGAAATTGAAAAGCTAATCTCGAGAAATGAGTTGAAGGACGCAGAGGTAACTTACTTCTGTCAAGTAGAACCAATCCTTCAAGATGGGCCACAGTGAGTATTGCTTTCATGTTTAGCGAGCTCCTAACTTCTATCCCAAAAATCTAATCGCTCCGTTTCAAGGACAGGAACAAATGTCATTTCTTCCTATTTGTGTCGATTGGCTATATATTTCATTAACATTTACTACTTTTCTATACTTTTAGAAATTGTACTTAATCGTATAAACTATCAAGATTTCAACGCATTACAGGTGCGGTTTAGTGGCGCTTTCAATGGCGTCGCAAGAATATACAAAACCAGTTTCTGTGAATCAGCTTCTCGCCGAAGCTCGTGTTCGAGGATTCACGCAGCACGGCGAAGTGTACAGCGTCGATTTCATGGGGACGTTAGCTGCGGAATATTTGCCCGATCATAAACCAGATATTTTAGTAGATTTACAACAGTGCCCGGACACGTTAACGCATGCTTTAGCACATGGAGCAATGGTGCTGATACCATACGATTCTGACTTCAACCACGCTCCGTGTTTAAAAAAGGGCCATAAAGCGCATTGGGCATTGCTTGTGGGTCTAATCTCTTCTAGGTGAATGCTACAATAATTAAGAGATTCTCCCTAATGTGCCGTGTCCTATGTTTTCTTCTTTCTGAAAGCACGCTCGTCTACTGCTCATAAAGATGAAAATGTAGGATTTTTCTTTTCGAATTACCTGTAACCATGAATTTTTTGATAAATGACAAATTTGATGAAAAATTTTCTGTATATTTTTTCAAATTTATTCGTTAAATTTTTGTTCAAATTCATTTATTTATATTGCCTCTTGCGAGCATGTATTTCAAAGGAAGCTTTACATATTTCTATAATATTGATATTTTTAGACAAGGATATCACGTTCTGGCACGTCACGGTAAATCGCGTCATCTGGCTTGTTGGCCCTTGCGCGACTTGATTGAAAGTAATGGCAACTTGGAGGAAGAGGGTACAACGAGACACGCAGGGGGATATGTTATACCAAAGGGTGGCGTCGGAGGTCAGAAGGGCTTACGCGGCAGAGCACTGGCGTTACATCCATACATATAGAGATATATCAAAGAAAATTGTAGGTAATTGATTTCACGTCGAGGGGAAACAAAATTTGCCGATCCTCTGTATCCACATGTGCTAAATATTCGAAACATGATATTTGCATATACACACGGCTTCCACAAGAATCAATTATGTGCAACGTGCGACGCTTTAATCAATATATACGTTTGAATTCGCGCGAGATGTTTTACATAATGTTAGTCATGATATATCTACCAAAAAGCGTTCGGCATCGGATGCAGTTCTAAGTGGCATTATTTTCGTTTCACTGGAATTATACGGTGTAAATAGAATTCCGGCAGGCCGAAATGTGTGCACGCAAAATATAAATAGGCAATTGTCTCTTGATAGAAAATTACACCCTCTTAGATTGAAATGCAAAAGTGTACGCATGCATAATAAGGCAAATGAGACACATAAAAATGTTTATGTAAGTAAAAATATATATACATATATATATATATATACGTATATGCGTGTGCATGCGTGCGTGTGTGCGTATGTGTGTATGTAACAAGTTGTTCGAAAGTGATAATTCAGAAGAGAAGATCCAAGTATATTTCTTCAGATAGAAATTCAGATATGTGTAGGTTTTCAACAATTGTGGTTTCCATCTTATGTTGGTGCAATAAATAAAGAGTATAAATATATTATATCAATTTTGCTAAGCTATATCTTAGTTATAATAAATAATGGCATGCTGTATCAGCTTTAATATACAAGTTTTAAGACATTTAGATATATACAGCGTGTTTGGTTTAAGTTAATTAACAGTTAATTAACATATATCTTTAATTTGTAGAGATATGAAAAATTTATATATACAAATATAGATTGATAGCAAAATGCAGTATTACATTGGTTTTTCGTTATATTAAAAGAAAAATTTGTTACTTGACGAAATTTTATTGTTTATTTTTTAAAATTACATGCTGATGTTTTAATATTTATTTGTTGCTGTATGAAACTTAAGTACATTTTTTTAAACACACACGAACGCGCACACACCAAAAATACACAAAATAAAAGACTTAAAAAAAATACTCAATGACTGGCTGGTCTCTTCAGTCATACAAAAATAATCCATACATTTTATATAAAATCTGTCAATATGATACTCGTAATAATTAACAAATTAAAGAGATGCTATAAATTTGTAGACTTGGTATAGCTTCGAATTAATCAAAAGAAGCCTTTAAAGTAAATTCTACCTAAGTGCCGTGAAAAGACCGAAGTCCATTTATAATAGGAAATGTACACTGCATTAATGTATGCATTGTTCAATTTTCAAGCTTCTCTTATTATATTATTGCATCACAATCAAAATACACTATAAAAGGGTTTATTCACATGGCGACACATGGACATTTTTTCTGCATTTCATATGCATCCAGACAATACAAGTGATTAAAAGTTGTCTAAAAGATAGAAGAATGTTTTCTAAGCAACTTTGCGATATCTTCTAAATGTTTGTGTTATCTGGATAGTACCGAAGTAAATACCTTCTTTTGCGAAAATTATCAATGTAAGCGCGATGTATGTAAAAGTATAAGAAATTAATGTCTTCCGTTACCATCGCGATACAGTCTTCACATGAATCTTCCGCAAAATGGACAAGAAGAATATATAATACGTATATAACCATATGCTTTAAATATAGCCTAGTCTATTAAAAATTACATTGACTTACGTCTAAAATTATTTAAATCATTATAAGAATATACGACTTTTGTTGAGCTGATAATTTTAAAAATGATATAATTGTAGTCATATGTGAAGAGAATGCAATATTTATGATCACGACGTTAGTTATTGTTAATGTTTTTGTTATATGCTCGTATTTATGTTATTTATTTTAATAGTCTTTAAAGATGGGAAATAAAAAGTTTATGTAATTAATATTAAGTAAAATGACTGTATCGGATGTAATTGGTGCTATGCTCGAATAAGGGAGAGCGATTGCTGCACTTTTTTGGATCGTGTTCTATGAAAAACTTCAATTTCCTTGCTATGAGATTAATGTGCAACGATTAAACCTAAGGAACTCTGCTTATACATCAGTAATAATACATGTATATATCATGTGACACAAAATATACTAAGAAATGTTATGTTTCAATATTGGAAATGTTGATTGTAAACTAATTGTACATGTCAGCAATGTATTCTTATTTCGTTGTTAATATACCATGTCATTTTCTTTATATATACATATCTTAGTATCTCATTTATACTCCTCTCGTATTGTATACCTATTTTTACTAATGTTTAAATTGTGATATCAATTTGTTTTATGTACATATGATATTTGTTGATAAACGTCACTTAAATTTTTCAAACCACTTGAATTTGTACCTGAGATATGACTTGTTAATGTACTAAAAAAAAAATAGAATGTTAAACTGTGTGAAAAAAATCGTTATTATTAAATAAGTAACTTCTGACAGTTTTATCTATAGTTTTGATGACATGTATGACATATTATATATACAAAAAATATGGAATTAAAGAATATTATTTTGATAATATTTTTAAACTGACAATTTAATATTGCTAATTAATATAGGGAGTTTCACCTAACATAATATTTAAAATAGTGAACAATATTCATAGTGTATACTTATTTACAGAAATAATTTTTGTAGTGTATATATTTATTTGGAATAATAATTTTTTGACCATTACTTAAGTTTTTCTCGGCTAGATAAATTATATAATTGGATGAAATTGGGCTCCTTTACTAACAAATTTCATTAACTATTGAAAAAGTCTACAGCAATGTAATATAAAGCATATAATATTTATTTTATCAACAATATTTGTGGGATTTGGACAAAAAAGCGGCTAGCTATGATTTGTATAAATTTATTTCAGCGGTTTTTGGTATTTGACTGTTTTGATCTTAATAAACCAAATGTAACTTTGAAAAGCTGTAATTCTAAATGCTTCAACATTTTTCTACGTTGACAATGAAACATTATCTATACATATATCTATTCAATTTATCTAATAATACATTAATTTTCATAACTATACTATTTGCTCTTTCTCTCTGGCACTCTCTCACTCTCAAATTATTAGACGTTACTTAAATAAGATGTTCAAAAAAGGATATAATATATAAATATCTCACAATACATATACATATATATGTACGTATACATATATGTATATACTAATATCGCGATAGACAATTTCGACGTGAAGTGTCGAGATATTTCTCATACATTTCTATGTTATAAGCTGTACACTACTATAGAGCATATTGATATAAACATTTGTAAAGCATTCTTAACAGTAAACAATGTATTCGTCATCAAACACATGTCAAATTATTTCAACACTTTACATACTTTTTCATTTTATTACGTATCCACATATTAATATTCGATAGTCACACAGGTAATATTCAGGTTTACAAGTGCAAAGAATTAGATTCTCGCATGTTATAATTGTTTTTTTAAGATTTGATTAATTGAAAATTACTTTCGGCTGTAGTTCCAGTGGAACAGTAGAAATAATTTTGGTCATATTGCACGCGAAATTTAGTTGCCCCAATTTTACCTATTCTTATTATCTATTACATTAAACTGAATTTCTTTTTCTTAATAAATCTTTTATTAACTCACTCTTTTGTAAGAGTATTGACAACAATTTGTAATGTGTACAATAAGACGTCGCATAGTTAAGCACAATAAAAACGTCTACGGTTTGGAAAGTTAACCGCCATCTAATAATTTTTTCTTTATTTTACGAAAAGCTTCAATATATTAGTTACTTTTCATAATTATTGTAAACTTTGAGCCGGTTTGTCGATATGTGATAAAACTCGCTGTACAGAAAATAAAAATAAGAATTTTCCGCGACAAACCTGACAAACGTGCTAACGGCCGTTCGCAATAATGTACAAACATATTGACAGATATTGACACAGGTAGTGGTATTTACTTTTTATTTTATCCCATCATTAACGCGTATTGGTTATACAATGAAACACTCACTCTTATATTTTGACTAGAATCCGAAATCTGTTAGCGTACATATATACAATACGTTATATCTGATGTCCTTCGTGAGGTGCACTTTTTGAACTGCGGATTCTTTGTGTAATCATTTTCGAGTTTGTCTCTTTTTACAAAAATGGACTATATGTGATAGAGATTAAAAACTATACTTGAATAAATAAATTGTATAACTGGACCGTGAGCACGTTATTGTTATCTCTATATCTTACACTACTTAAAGAGGAAAATTATCTTTATACATACAAATGATATAAGTCAATCGAGTGGTGTTATAGAAAAAGAGATAATATATAATACATGGAAAATCAATGACTAATAATGTAATATGAAATAAAAGAGGAACTACTATATAATTCATATAAAAAAAGGAAACAATACTAATCTGTGAGTACAGAAGTTTTGCAGCTGTAGGCTCGATTACTAACGTATCTTTGGTATCGCATTTACAAAGTTCGGAAGCACAAAACGTTTCTGAAAAGCGGAAAGCTAAAACCGATCATTCTTTTCCCTGTAAACACTCAACTTATATACGTGCTTCGCGATACTAAGAAACAACGGGAGAATTGAGTTTTTGATCTTACATTACCGATTTCGAACATTTATCTTCGATTTAATTTCATTTCTTTGATTCATATCTATCCTTTTCGCAGACAGATATGTTCGCTGTGTGTCTTCTACACGCACTGGATGCATTAACACGTAGCAAGCTGAAATTTGGCATCCTCTGGAGAGAAAATGTTTATAAGAGATACACACAGCACGATTAAGTGAAAACCATGACACAAAAACATTACACGAGGCACTGAAGTAATAGAAACTCAAATTTACAATGTTTCGTCAAAAACTTGAGAATACGTATAACTATATATGGCAGGTTTAATTGCTGACTTCGTTCCAGCATGAAACAAGACATATTCTCTTGAAGATACACGTGACGCGCTCATTGATGCGCAATACGACTTGTTTTTCTTTATTTTTTAAAAATGAAAGGTAGTTATAGTTTGTTCTGAGATGAGTTTCATCAATATCGTATATTATTCGCAATTATTGATAGCTGCTTTGTTCGTCAAAGACTATGTTGTTATGGCCACACGTTACTTGATATATCATTTTCAATATATCAGGAATTAGTATTTCACTTGGTTGTACGAACGGCATTGTTTATCATCAGGCAGATAAGAGATGTAAAATGTACAACTACGTATATCACTTGATATGCATTAACAATTAATTGTGGACTAGCAAAAAGAGGAGCGCAAACGGAGATATTTCATTGCTACCTTGTATACTTTGGCAAGATACAATCATCACCAGTGCCATCGTTTTAGTCGCACTATTAGAGGATGCCGTTAAAGAGTTTTTTTCCCTTTTTACATTTGGAAACAAATCGAGTAGGCATTTTTTCTTCTTAATTTGGCATTAGGCAGTCAAAGCGACAACTACGTCGCTAAAAACAGTAGTACTTTACTACCTACACTGTCGCTCTTTTTATCAAATAAAGAAAAAGAAAAATCGAAAAGCTGATTAGGATTATGTTTACATTAACAATATTATTTCTTAACCCTTTCAGAAGATCATTATATACATATACAACATTTGGTTTCAGTAAAATACATCATTTCATTTGAGAAACTATAGTTGATCTTGATTTAAAAAGATGCTGGATCAGATACTTAAAAACGTATTAATACCTAAACCAAACTCATTGTATAAATCAATTTTTATAACAATTTTATATACTAATTAAAATAATATAAGTATATAAATTTGCGTACATTTTATCGCATCGTAACATGTTAGTTCAATCATGTAATTCCTTCTGAAAGGATTAAAGAAAATTTTCGCTTGTTTTGCGACGATCACATTAATTTTACTTAAATTCAAGATGCTTTAACACCTTCCTGATATGGTTATTACAAGTATAAGAGTTAAATGGAAAAACTGTACACAATAAACAGATTGCTCTAATAAACGGAAGAAATTTTCTGCTCCCATAGAATAAAATTTAAAAAGCTGTATAACTATATATAAATATTCTGAGTTAATTTGTCTTCGTTTTTCATAGAGAAATCACAATCGTGCGTAGGGTAAGGTGATCAAATTCGGATCAGATACCAAATGCGGATCAACAATTTGATGAGTCGCTAATAAGTGACATTTCAAAGTAATTCACTTAAATTTTGCTCCTTTATATATTTATTTACCACTTTATGCTATATTGCCGACGTCATAAAAGACATCGACGTGTTTTTATGTCGCTTATTAACGACTCGTCACATTGTTGATCCGCATTTGGTATCTGATCTGAATTCCGTCACCTTACTCTGTCTATAGGAAAGCAAAATTTATATAAAACTGATACACTAACGCAAGTTAATAAAAAAACGTGAATTAAGAATAGAAACAATTATCTTTAAACGACGATTTCTAAAAGCAGAACAATTTTTTTATATATCAACTTGAGATTAAAAACCTTATCAAATAATGTACAAAAGTATCTCGGAAAGCCAAATGATAAAATATTATTATAACCAATGAGCATTTCTAAGAATATTTTATATTTACACATTCGTTATTATCTTCATGTTTTTTTGTATATTCATTAAACTTCTGTTAAATTTTCAAACGTACAGTACATTGCACATATATATTATCTGATTCTGTACGCTGAAAAAAATGTTTGCCTGTATCACAGACTTCTTCAGTAATAACGCATAATATCTGCGTATTTTCTTATTGTTTGTAACACATATATACAATAAATTCTATTTCAAATTTCGGATTTCGAGCGTTCTTTTTTCAACAGAGATATGCAGTACATTAGAAAACTGTTTTTCCTTCTCTGTTTTGTATGGACATAGTATTTTTAAGTTTCATGTCCCATATTTGATTTACAGCAAATAGATTGCAAGTCAATGTGTTGAAATTAAATCAGATATATATAGTTTTTCGTTTCTGATGTCATAATCCGATACAGCGAGCAGTTTGAAAAAAAAGACGGAATCACTATTAGCATTCTACATCTACAGCAGAACTTTTGACCTTTTATTTTACACATTGAAATCCGGAATTTGTAATAAAATAATATATATATACTGAGTCATGTAACCTGTGTCCTAAATCAAATATTGAAAAAAATTTAATAATTTAAGGAAGATAATTAATCATAACAGCAAGAGAGAATACATTAGTTACCACATTTAAATTGTTTCTAAAAAAATGGCGTCATAAAATTTACAGGTATACATGCTTTGTAGTCATTTAAAAATAATTTTTTAAGCTCAGGGTAGTGTCAAGTAAAAGTTATAACAGATTACATGATTCATACACATGATATATGTACATACGTATGCACATAATTTAAATAAAAAATAGTGTATCGATTTTGCAATGGAATTGTCCTTCGTTCAAGGACGATAAAAATATATTTGAAAAAATAATGCTTTATTATATGTCACTTTTTTAATACAATACTAAAATATCTCTAAATAATGAGGTTTGGGTTATTTTGAATTCTCATATTCTTATCTTGGATACTCAATTTATATGATAATGAAAATAATAAACATTAATATTAGATAGATTAGATAACACGAAGAGAATATAAGGTTACAAAAGATATAATTTTTGAAACTAGTTTTTCACTAAAGAAGTCTTAAATTTGCAATACATCCCAATCCCATATTTAAAGATATTTCAGTATTTATTGTATTAGAGCAGCGCGCGTGTTGTCATAAATATGTCGCAAACCAATAATTTCAGTAACAGCATTCCCATAACCAGCAAAATCTCTATATGAACATCTTCATTCTAATTGTGATATGTCACGAATGAATATGTAATGTAATTTATGTAATCTCATGTTGGTGGGATAAAGTTATATTCCTACTTTTTGAGAAATCTCTACAAATTTACGTATATAGATTATGTTTTATAGAACATAAACTTTCCAAATCTGTTATGGGCATGTGTTGCATAAATCGTTTGTGAACACAATATATATTTTTGTATAACATGGGAAATTTTTTCCCAGTGTTCAAATATCTTTATTACTATTATCAAATAATGGAATGGATGCAACTGGCGTTTCGAGTATGAGAATTTATAGCATCTGCTAAATTCTAACTGGGCAGTCTTAAGAAGTTGGTGGTTATCGGGTTTGCGTGTAAAATGAGTTAAATCTTATTGTTATTGACGAAGATGCAAAATATGAAAGTCGCTAGCAGCCTTCATTTTAATAACATAAATTTATGTAATAGTCGAAGCTTGTTGCAGATTATATTCCAATAATGCTATTGGAAACGTCTTGATGTGCGTTTGCCATTGCGCCGATAGTTGGAAGAATTTTACACCATACCATTCAGTACCGTCAATGCTCACTGTAGCAAGAGTAACATCATCGTTAAATGATTAATGAAATTATGAATGCAAATTACAAATTATTAATTAATCCAATTAATCAGAAAAAGGGAAGCGCGAGTGTAGAACGGTTTTTGCAACATTCAAACCTGGATTTATTTCACTTTACAGTAAACGTGACATGTATGTTTAACGAATTTCATATAATTCATGACAAAATTGAAAAATCTATTTAATAAAAAAAATTGTACCTCTTAATGGAATGTTGTGAGTTTTTGCAGAACATATGAGGCGTGTCACACCGTCCACCGATTGACTTTTTGGTTCATTTTCCTTTTCTTTTTCTTTCTTTTTACCTAATCTCATAACTAAAAAAGAATAATTTTCCTTTAAAATTTGATGTTATACAATATATTACATATTTTAATTTTTATCGCAAAAATTAATCTTATCTATTTCTGGAAATAAAAAAATATAGCTTAATTTTATTCTTACTTTTTTGCTTTTTCTCTTTTGTTGTGAAATTCATAGATAAGTGATGTCCAGGAACTTCGCCTAATGAGGGAAGTCTTTGCACGTGCAACGCTCTAAAAGCCTGACGTAACGTACTCTTTCCCTTTTCACCTTGAGTCTGTTTACTCCAATAATCCAGCTGTAGCTCCACTGGTTCCCATCCTTCCCTTGCCGGTTGGCCCACGTTAGGACTGCTAGGTGGTGTCAACTTTCCTGGAGTTGGGACGGGTAAACTTGGAGGAGGTAAAGAGGGCGGAGAACCAGACATGCTAACATTACTCTCTTCCAGATCGACAGACGCGGAAGAACTGCTGTCTGGGCAACCCACACGAACGTCATTTATAAAGGGAATAAAGATTTGGCTGCTGTCGTCTGTTTCCCTACGAATATGATCAATTTTTTTCCAATATGTCTGTTCAGAGCTGTTTAAAACAAATTTATATCAATTACCTGTACGTAACCATAGCTTCCGCTATGGGTAGCAGTAAAACCGTATTTGATGTGGCCAGGTATTCCGATACTCTTGCCGCATATTCGCTCGATCCTCCACCTTCTCTTTCTAAAAGTTCCTTCCATTCGTCCCCAAATAACTTTGAATACTTGGGGTCGATAGAGCCGAGATATCTCGTTAATGTATTTGAACCGAGCGGTACCACTAAGAATTTCATGTAACTCTGCCAATCTGGCGGTTTAAAGCTCAACAAGTCGACATAATGACGGAGAACTGCGTTTATGAAGCTGTCCCCGCCAGCGATAATCACCTTTATAGGTGCCGGTGGTTTTGCGGAACTGTTGCAACTAAACATAAAAATATATATTTAGTATGCGTGCAAACCTCTTTATTTCTTCTCTTCAAAATAATGTCTTTTAAATAGAAAAGAACAAAACGGGCAACAATGTTTTCATCTTGTGTTATGCAATTAATATAAAGATGAAAGATTAAAAATCTTGGAATAGCTTGAAACAATAGTTCGGTTACAGTGATTAATGATTTTAGATGAAGTTGATTGTACAAGAAAAATATACCGATATTTAGAATCGAGGGATTGAGGCATTAAGGAATACGATAATTACAATTTTTGTATTCGCGTGACCAAACACGTGAATGTTGCACGGATGTCAGCCGGTGAGGCGGTCGTCAGAACTTTATGGTTTCTTTCTTGAAGTTTTGCAGCAAGTGCAGCACCGCCGGGATCCGCTATCGATACCAGCGATACAGCCTCTGGTAAACTATCATCTGGTAACACTCGACTTAGCTGTTCGACCAAAGCTTTTCTTGGCTGAAATTAATAAACGTAATTAAATATGTTAATCAAGAACCACGTATAATGGCGAATGACGCCTGGCATCATTAATTCCTAGACTAAAAATGGAAGACATTAAAGGCATTGAGAATTGATGATTTATGCAGAATAGCAGACGAAATAAAAACGACATTATTATCCAGATGTACCTCTGTGTTATTTAAATCGGCCGAGGGTTTCAGATCGACGCTCAAACTGTGTTTCTTAGATTTATTACTGCTAGGCGTTCCTCTATCACGCGCGAAAAGTCTGCTTCTTCTCTCAGAGCTTTCGCTCTTATTAGGCTGCTCCGTTGATTTTGGCGGGGAACCCGCCACATAAGTCGGTGGATCGTTCGCCTCGTGGTCTGTCCAATTTTCAGGATGGGAATCGCTGTCGGCTCTTCGAGAACTGTCATCGCTCTGTCTGTCCACCCCACGCTCTGCAATGAGATTTCATTACTGTCTATAGGGATACGTAACTTAAAATGTTTATAAAACGGTACACACAAAGTGCTTCAAAATCACCGTTATAGAGCTTAGCTCTTTCCTTACTTCATATAATATTTAGTCAAATTTATTGGCAAAGAAGCTTCAAAATAAAATTATACAAGGTGTTTGGCAAATAATTCATTGCGCGTATTATGTTAAAATATATGTATTTTAAATTACTCAGAGAACAAAATGTTTTGTTCATTTAAATCTTTATAGTTTAATTGAGGTTAAAGTTAGCTCATTTTCAATCGATGTAATACAAGAATTATGGACATACATATAGCATCAAAATTAAAAATATCACTAATTTCTTTAGTTTTATGATCAGATGTGGAATGTCGGTGGTTTTGGAAGACTTTGTATAAGTATTCAAATGGAACAAGTGTAAAGTGAAGAAAAGCACAACTAATGTGCCAATATTAAATTATTCGAAAAACATACTAGGTATCATATATGTTTGAAATGTTTGCACTTTTAAATCGAACAAATTATATCTGATAATGAGTGACAATTTGTCAAAATTATTTAATTTTGCATATATATTAAATATTTGCAACTATCAGACGCAAGTCCGAATTAACGAGTATCTAGATTCGATTTGGAAATGCCAATTTCAAAATGCTCATTTCAGTTGTAAAGTACATGATACCTAGCATACATCTTGATTCGCGATAAATGATGATTATCCGTGTCAAGTTTCAGACAAACTAATTGTAAGACAAACTTATCGATGTCACAGTCGTAGCATTTATCACAGGATGTTATTGCAAATGACAGAGAGAGAGAGAGAGAGAGAGAGAGAGAGAAAAAGAGAGAGGTGAACTCGTGAGATGATGTGCAAGTCGCAACATTATTGGAAAGCAGAATACATGACTAAGATTGACAGAATAAAGAATACGTACGTACACGAGTAGATAGAGAGATACAGGCCAGTACCACAGATTGAAGTCTAACAAGATTACATACAAGAAGCCGCAAATAGACACACAGCGTATGTAAAGGAAACACAGGCTCGCACATTATATATATATACATTATACTACGGCGAGTTCTTTTAAACGGAAAGGAACAAATTGTACTTGGGAAAAATCGTATAATACGAATAACTGCAAGAAAATTAAATGTCAACACAATTTTATTTTCACCGGAACTTATGTACATTGATACAAATATTTGTACCTTTTGAGAATCTTAGAAAGGAATGTAAGAATAATAGAAGATACGAAATTAAGGAAAACATGCCAAGTGTGTAAATCACACATGTACGAAAGAGAAAGAGGGAAGAGGAGAGACAGACAGACAGAGAGAGAGAGAGAGAGAGAGAGAGAGAGAGGGGGGGACAGTTGATTACATAAAGAGGCATTTGATTTTATATATTTAAACAAGTGAGAAACGAAAGTAACGTGCCACTTCGATTATTCTTGCATTTGGCTACGTTAGAATGATATGTTACATTATTAAAGGGAAATGTATAATTTATATATATATATACATATATAAATTATAGATTTTGCTTGTATATAAGTGTAAGTCGCGAAGCCACTTAATTACCAAATGTGATTGAAACACCAAGCTTCTGTCGATTAGCAAGGTCATTCATGCGCTGGAGTTTCTTCTCCAATCTACAAAATTATTGTTGCTGAATTTCTTTCAATAGTTGCTTGATATTATTATAAATATAATATATAATTTTTAAATAATTTGCTTGTTTAACCTGAAGGTTTTTTTGCATTAATTTATACTGACTGTACGAATGAGGAGGAAAAAAAAAAGATTAAATTAGATATCACTTCAAGAGAAACATTTGTGGGTTACTCTATTACATCATCTTCAACGATATGTATATGCCTCTCTTACATCGCATGCTATATTTAAACGCAAAATACGTGCTGTTTGATAAGAAGCGGAATCCTTAAAATGTTCCAACTATTCGGTCTTCGTAGGGGCGTCAGGATTGATTGGTATTTACATACCCGGAGTTGTGTGTCCGACACGATGTTTCTCTTTAGTCGGCTGACTCGCGGGCTGTTGACACGTGGTAGTCGTTGAGATAGTTCCACTGTCCTCGTTGGTTACTACTATCGAATCGTAACATGCAACAGTGCAAAGCCAACCCACCAGACTTTCACTTAGTTCAGAAGATCTGAATCTGAGTAAGCTATGGAATTTTTAAGGCCCTTAGACAACGACGATATATTAGCGTTTCCCAGACATATCGAATTACGACGTTAAAAGCAAAAATTCTTCAAGTTGATTAAGATTTACGACTATCTGTTACTCCACAAATAAAAACAAGTCTACGTCACATTGTATCAATCTATTCCATTTAATATAAAACGAGACATGCACAAAGAGTTACTTTATTTCAATATGTTATAATCAAGAAAAGATTAGATCTTTTCGCTTCTGACATCATAATCCAGCGGCAGCAGTGAGAGGCTAGAAGCCTTTGTTCAACATAAATAATTATTGTTATCCACTCAGCCTTCTCGTCTTTTCCATAACACAAATTTAATGAAAAATAAATTATATAATTGAAAAAAAATTATTTATTTGCGCTCTTAAGCTAAAAGAAATACACTATTCTGCATTGTAAAATCAAAAGATGAAGGGAATTTACCGTTCTTCTTCATAGAAATTAAGTATCAGTATCCTACCTGTCGTATAACGGATCCTAGTGAACGATAAAGTTCGGGAAAATGTTGTCTTTATTTTTATTAATTATAAAAAAATGGCTTGTGGTATTTTACATAAAACGCGATAAATAATAACTATTTAGCTAGTATTTTTAACGAATGTTCAGCCAAAATTTTCGAAAAGAAGTTTAATTAGCATTAGCAACAAATCTAACGTGTCATAGTGAATAATTTACAAAATAAATAAATATATATCGATAATGTAACGTACATATATTTATACGTATTAAAATATGTGTCAATATATTGTGTCATTACATGTATCGTTATTCATATGCTTATACTTTAATTGCTACTTTTTCTAAAATTCTTGTATCGAATAATCAGTAGAAAACTTTGAATGAAAACTTTGGACGAACCTGTAAAAGGTATTCGGATTACAACAGTCATGCTGCTTCGCCAAGACATCAACAGCTTAATCAAATCGTGAATAATAAATGCACCTTTGGCAGTTATAAATTCATCATTTTTGTGGAATTATTAAAATCTCTTCTCTCAAGTATAACATATTGTACATGATATATAATTTATAACAGTGTTATAATCTTCGCAAAAAGGTTATCACTTTTTTCGAAACGTTTCAAGTACGAAAATTAATAAGAATAAGAAAAACTTACATCAATCACTCAGTTTTATTCGTTGCTTGCGTATTTTTTCTTTTACAATGAAAAGAAGCACAACAGTTATCGCTCTGATGTATTTATTTAAGATACATTACGAAGAAGAGACCTCACCCGACACTATAACAATAGGAATGAAATTGATTTCTCATTGTTATTCATTTTATTTATCGCGCAGCAAGTTAACAGTATTATTCAAAACTATGCGCGCGAAAGAGGATAACTAAAGGCATACGCATTAAAATGAAAGATATATCTTTAGCAATTCCAATAAAATGACGTTTAACTGCAAAAGTGATTATTTTACGAGTGTAATAACCAATAGCCTAGAGCGAAAGCCAGAATATGATGAGTTCAAAACGTAATGTAGCTTCCTTACCGTATAGCGTTATATACGACTTAAGAGTAGCAACATTTGCTTAAACGCCAGCCTTTAACATGTCTGTATTACTTAAATACTACATCGCAACATCAGCACAATGAGCTAGTTTGAAGTATCGATAAAATACCTTGCCACGTATCACATATATGTCACACATTTTATCAGAGTACGCGAGTACGAATGAATGATGCAATGACTTACCGGAATGAGGTGGCGCGAGCAGGGATCGACTAGAGCTGAAAAAGGGTCTTAGCGATGGCTTCGGCGTACTGCTAACAGACATGGTATCCAGTTCCGGTCCACTATCCGATAAATCTTCTAATTCGTCGAACAACTCTTCTATCTCCATATCGCCACCTTAATAAAACGATCGTAACATTTAAATAAGTAATTTGCTTTAGCAATTGTTCAATTCTGATTAGCATTTATCTAATAATTCAAAATTGCATTTAATATGTAAACTGCCTTGAGAAAAACTTTTATTAATCCACAAAGTTTGATCCAAGTTGTATCTGGTGTATTGATTTTCTGCATAATTTTATGTAGTTTCGCACCTGAAAGTTTCTGCCCGATCTCCTCTTGATCGTGCTCCAACTCCTCGGACACCCTAAACCTCTTTAGCAGAGCTATAAACTTTTGCTTTAAATTTCTTTGCTGCAAAACACAATAAACATCAGAATCCAGTATAGACGCAACACGGGACCAGGCGCCTTAAGCTGAATGGGGAAATATATTGCGCGTACCCTAGCATTCGTTGGAATCTTGCCGCGGCTCTTCCGCCTGTGCACCTCCAATGTAGGCTCGCTGTCGCTGCCCTCCGCCTCGCCCTCCGAGCTAAACTCCTCCTCCTCGTCGCTGAATTCCGGACAGAGCCTCTCGTTGGGATCATTCGTCAGTCTTTTATCGTGATCAACCGGCTGGGAACTCAGGGCGACAACGCTCACGCGTGCCAGTGGGACCGAGTGGCCACCGTACTTTTCCGCCTTGTCTGATATGAGTTCCAACTCGACGTCCATCTGCTTCTGCAGCACCTGTAGAGAGTAGTTGGCGTTACGGGTGACGAGAAAAACTAATGCCCGATGCATCTTCATCTTTTTCGCTTTTTCGTAAAGCGCTCAGGGCATTCTGGTGTATAGATTTGCGGCATTACTGGGCATTACTACACGGGGAGAATTTTCTTTTAAAATTTATCCTAAAAATATTGTAATCGTGGGACAACACGGTATTTCCAAGAATTTTATGAGAGTTTTTTTTAAATTTTATCATACACTTCACTAGTAATTATACTTAGTATATATTTTACTAGTAAAATGTATGGTAAACTTTGAAAAACTCTCATAAAGTTCTCCAAAATGCCATGTTATCCCGCGATCACACAATTTCCAGGGTAAACTTTAAGAGAAAGTTCTCTCCGCGTAGACATTTTTGGACATTAAGCCTTACTGGGGCATTATAAAGATAAAATAAGATAAAGCAATGCCCGCCGGGCATTAGTAGGCGTTGGTGTATGTACACGATCTTGGCCAGCGGTTTACCCCTCGTATATCGACTGGGAGTAGAAAGTAGACAATTTGGTTTCCGACGGAATAGAGTGAAATTCCAGACTTACTTGCGCCATGTTAACGATTCCCTCCGCGAGGGTCTTGTACCCGAGCATCGTGCGATTCTTGTATCGCTTGCGTCTCTGCAATAATATCAGAAGCTTGTTGCCGTCTCTCTTGAGGAAATGCGGATATTGGAGCGCAAATTGCAATTCCAGCTCCGTGTCGAGTATGCCGCCGGTCGGTATAGCCATCTCGTTGGAACGCAAGGTCCTCTTGGAGCTCTGCATCTTGACCGCGATGCTGATGGACGCCAGGTCCGAGCCGAGCGGCCGGAGTATCACTAATCGAGTCAACGTCAAGGAACACAGCCTAAAAATAAAGCGAAACTAAAGTGAGGTATATTTAAAGATTTAAGACTCGGGGGATATTTTAAGGTTCGATCCAAAGATTGCCTAGAATCTGATCGGAAGTATATTCGGCAGCGCGCGTATAAATAACCAGAGCTCAAGGAGGCTGTTTATGTATCTCGGAGTTAAACAAAGATAAATGAAACGACCGACGTCTCACGCCGCGGGACTATTGATTGAGAGTGTGCGCGCCTTGAAAAGCCACCAAGATACGAATTGATGATATCGGGCGACACTTCCTTCAAAGGGAATGATCGACGAGACAATGGAGAGGTACGAAGGTCGTTCGGAAGGTAAGGGCCAATCTATCGTGTAATAATATGACGGAGACGTGTATGCGATCACATTTAAGGGATAAATAATAAATGTTGCAAGAGCGAAGGTTTGTCGCCAGCGTACAATTAACCAAATGAAAAAAATTTTAGACGACTCAGTATACTGCGTGTACATTACTTGAAAAGGACCACAATCTGGATGGTGGAAACGTAGTTTGATTTATTGCATTAAATAAACCATCCGCCAGTTGGGTAGTCTAGCAATTTTTTCATCTGACAAAAATAATAAAATTGAAAGGCTGCTTCGCGGAGAGGCCGAAAAGATGTTGCGTCACGAGTCACCGTCTACGTCGCGCCACTCCGGTTCGAAATTAACGAGACTAATCCCGCCGAGCCTACGGGTGTCCTTTGTGCCGGAGAAATTTCCGCGTGTGAAAAAATCCGCCGTCAATTCTGTGGCCCGTACAAAGGGCCACGAAATAGATTCCCCTTCGTGATTCTCTCGAAAAATTCCGATCAGGAGACATACCTTCGAGTACGCTGCGAACTATGAAATCGATTAAAAGGATTTTTGCCGAAGAATCATCGGGAGCGGAGGAAACCGTGTAGCCGAGAATATACCAACGATATTCTTCGGTGGAATAAAAAAATAACGCCGCGGCTTTCCGTGGCGGGGATTGCATGAAAAAATGAAATACACTGCTGAAACCTGTAACCCCCTTTTTTTTTATGGAATAAACTTTCTCTTACGGCCAACAGGTCCTCGCTATATTCCGCGTTCGAGCTCCCTTCGTACATACATAATTTACCTCGCGATGATACGCGCGATAGAGCCTATACCAAGTGGAAACATCGTCGAAACCCTTATTACATGCGGCGGGGAAAAGGACGGTTATCGTTATTTATGAAGAGGGTTTCCGGGGGCGTCAAGGGGGCGGGGGCCGGGGGGCGAGTGCTAAATATAGCCGCGGAGAGTAGAAACTACAGGTGGCACGTTATCACTCGGGCGCGCATTTATTTTACATATGCGCGGCGACCATTACGCTCGTGATAACACGCGATCGACTCGCGGAGAGCGCCTGAAATTTCCACTTGGTCGTCGGCGATAATTAATAATAGAGAACGGATAATAACTCGAGTCGTTTGAGTTGCGCGCTCCATCGGAAATCGCGCGCGGATCGCCCGTCTATATTTCTAAGCCGAACGACAATTTTCGTGCGGTTCAAATATATCTACGTGTGCACTGTTCACGCGACTTCGTTCCACGCGTATCGATTATTCCGAGTAATAGAGAGAAAAGAGTGTTTCGGACAGAAGCGCTTAACTCTTTCAAGCACGTACATGTTACACCTCCCTAAACTAAAACAACCAGCGCTCCTTTCACTCCGGTGTTTTTACTATTTCACATCCAGGTTTTTGGTTTGCTAATTCGGAATCTGAGGTCGAAAATTTAAAATTATCGATGATTGACTCAATACAGCAGCGCATAGTTGCAGTTTTAATTAAGAAATTTTCTATAGGATATCCCGCAGTCAGAGAATTATTCCTATAAACGACATTCCAAAACAAGGTATCTGCACTGATAAAAAAAATACCTTAATCCAAAGAAATATTACTTTACTCAAGAAAATTATTCATTCGGTGGCTTACTAACTTAAATTAAAGCAATCAAAACAAATAAAAACATATTTAAAAGCATTTATACTTGTTTTTTTAATAAAAACATTGGCCAGTGTAGGTCGTTTGAAAAAAAACTGCATATTAAGTTTCAGGAAAATCGGCTGAAAGGGACAATGTATGCTTTAAAGGGTTAAAGTGAGAAAACTGCTCGAACGTATACAAGTATCGGGACATTTAAATCGCTGTCTCTGCAACCGCGCGCGATTAAAGACGTGCGTCGCAATCATTTAGTTTAAATGCGGCACAGGCGCTTGAAATCTGCGCAGTTAAACGCGCTATCGAATGCCGTTTCGATTACGCACCCTTATCACGTCGTTATGTTTGCACGGAATTTTGCACGCGACGCACATCCGCGTCGCGGGAAGTCTCTTTTTCAGGAGAGCTTCTCGGAAATCGGCAGCATCGTTAATGGCAACGTTAATGTCGCAGTCGGACCGTGGCGCGTCCGAATTTACACCGAATTAACCGCAGACTTTTGCCAAACACGCGCCCAGCCATCGGTGGTTTGGCAATAATCGCCAAGTCAAAAATACAGTTAATCGTATTTCATCGCATGCCGTTCGCGGCTCGCTGGCTGCGCGCGTGACGATACAGCTTTACAGTCGATCCTTCAAATCGATCACGGTATTTATAGTGAAAAGAGCATCCGTGCTTTCGCGAGACGGGCGTTTAAAACCGTGAATATCTAAGCCAGATGTGAATTTATCTGGCGTTACACGGAAAGAAACGAGAGATAAACCGCTGAGAGTATTGTGGTGCACAGATTTGCGACATTACTGGGCATTAGTAGGCATTGGTGCACTGAGAAAAATGTCCGATTAAATATATTCGGATAATCCAATTCAGTTGTATATCTGCTGAAAAATATGAACGGTTTTTCAATCAAATTGCATCGGTAACTGCATTTCATCGGATAAATTTCATCGGACGTATCCATAATTTAATCGGAAGACGTAATCGGAAAAATTAACCATCGGAAACACTATTTAATCCGATGAAACATTTTCTCAGTGTGTGTACATGATTTTGATCGGCCGTTTATCCCTCGGAAAAAAATGTTGCAACTGCAGCAACAATTTTCTAGATACGAAAAAATAACTGAGATACATAAACGAATAGCCGCGATACTGCGAGATCGTACATGTTTTGTATTTAACCAATTTAAATAGCAGAAACAGAATTTCTATCCGAGCTGTTAGCAAATGTTAGGAAAGTCTTTCCGTGGCGCTCGTCCATTATAACGTTCGGTTTTATATTCTTTACAAAGATTGTTCTGGCTATGGTACCGAAATTCATTTCTATCTCCAACGCGAATGATTAACATTTAGTCACGAAATCTAAACTTTCTAGAAAGTATTGCTAGAACGTTGCTGCTATAAATTTTTGTTGCGGCACCTAGAAATCTACCTGCGTTAGTAAGATATTCTTTGGAGTGTCTCTCCGATCTCGCGTTTGCGCCATTTTCATTTAAACTTGGCGGATTTTATCACCGACGATACGAGGCGGTTTAAATAATAGCAGCAATTAAATTGTATATGTACGATAGATAAAGCGCCCGCTACTTTTCAGGCATTACAAAATAACGCTCTAATATATTATTTCTCGGAATGAAGCGTGGCTGCTTAATTTTTTCTTCATTGGAATTTAATCTTGTTAGAGCAGATCGGAGTCTAAAATGGTGAGTAAGAAGGTGACGATGGATTTAAAACGGGAAACTTGTGCAGCATTTCCAATCTATTGAAATCTATTCGATGCAATTTCGAGAATTTTATCGCGGGACCACGAGCGATTTTATTTTGTATTTAATAATATCTGAAGAATGTCTGATTAAGTATATTTTTCGGAGTGAAAGGGGAGAAATTTTAGCTAATTTCTCTAATTAAAATGTTTGGAGATAGCAGGTGCCGACGAATGGCAGATTTTATTCGTTTCTTATTTATCGAGTCGTCAAGTTACTTTCTGCCCGTTGTAAAACTTTCGCCCCGGCGGAACGTGACATAATATGGACTTGAGAAATATTAACTTGAACCAAGGTTAGATCAACCCCTGCTCCAGTTTGATTCGAGAAATCCCGCAAAGAAATTAATTTATAGGACAATTAGGACGTTGCTTGAAATACTATACATATACATTTGCACACGCGATATATGTATACACCTGTACATATATATCGTTGACTTTCCCGATTAATACATCAACGGCATTTCTCGTGACTGCAGCGATATTCGGCAAGAAACGAGAAATAGTTGGCCTCGTATCGGCTCGTCGCGTTGACACTTGTCTGACAAATGCCTATTCGTCGGTATCGGGAGATTAACAACAAATATCGATCTGCCATCGTTCCTTTGAAAGAGTCGCAAAAACATGCGACGAATGTCGCGAACGGGCGGTATCGAGGCATCGAGGGTCGCGCGTCGAAGGCGGAGCAAAACGTGACATCGCGCGCGGGTCTGTCAGATTCTGTTGACAGTTGCGGAGCAGTTTCGGGAGTCGCGAGTGGACGGGTGGACGGGTGGACGCGCGACGCGTAGCGTGTCATACGACGGTGACTCAAGCGCGAGGCAGGGCGCAACGTGTGCGCGTCGAGTCGCAAATCGCGAGTACGGGCGTCCAGAGAGCGGAGTCGTGTCGCGCGGCCACGCGCGAGAAGGGGTGGCCGCGCGGACGCGTAGCCACGGGGAAACGTTCGTTGCTCGGCGTCCACCATAGCGTCGAGGAATGCCATGGAGAATGCCAGGCGAGCCGCGCCGCCGGATCGAGCACGCAACGCGCCGGGATAATTCGCCGCGAGGTGTGGGCGTCCGCTTACCTGGGTATGCAATTCGGCGGCGTGCGATCCACTTCCCAGGTGGCGAACAGCTTCATGGGGACGGGCCGGGTGGCCGGGGCCGTCACCTTCGTCCGTTCCGCCATTTTTGGCCCTGGCGGCCCGCGAGACACACGCAACGCCTACGACTCACCGCGTCCCGCGGCTCGCAGACGACTATCAATGACTGTGAAGAGAGAGCGCGGCTCGACGCGCGCGCGGCAGGGCGGGAGGATCGCCACGGACTCTCGAGACTCGAGCGTAGCGCCACGCCTGCCCGTGCCCCGACATCGTCGCGACATCTCGGAATTCCGATGCGAGGTACTTTCTTACCGACACTTACCGATGCTCCAAAGGACCGCGATCGATAACATTGAGACCAGTGCTATATTCATGCCCTTTCTACACATTGCACCTATAAAGCCTCCGCTACAATGATTCTCGGTTCTGTCTACAATGGTCGTACAGTTGTATCGATGGTCGCTTGAGCAGTCGCAAAGTAAGAATTGACCAATCGCAGTCGATTATTCTTACGACTACGACTCTGCGACTCGCATTGTAGACAGAACCGAGAATCATTGTAGCGGAGGCTTTATACATCGATAATGACTCTACGATTCTAAGACCGCGACCATTGTAGACAGAACCGAGAATCATTGTAGCGGAGGCTTAAAGCCCGTATCAGACCATGGATTGACATTCAGATTAGATTGAAATGTCGCCAGAGTACAATTTACTAATCTCAAGTTTAGCGACTTTTACTCTAATCGGCCAAATTTCAATCCAATCTCAATTTGTAGCCTGATCCTGCTTGTGGCTCATCCGAGCGTGTAGCATCACACTGGAATTTGATTCAATGAAATTCCAGATTTGACCAATCGTAGCACGAGGTCATTTTAATCTTCTCGCGAAAGCAGCCTAGATAGACCATTTCTAATATAAAGGCCCGAACACACGAGAAACTTAAGAATTTGAAGCAATCAGAATTTTCAGCATTGCTTAAATTTCAAAATGACTGCTTACGCTCTCGAGTCGTTGGTTATTTCCCTCAAGTTTTTTCGTGTGTTCATCATAGTAGAATCAAACAAAGTCATGCTTCAGTATTATGCTCGTACTAAAATGTGATCTGTGTAAACTTTTTCACTCGGATGAGCCACAAGCAGAATTTCATTGGCTATGAAGCATCTAGAGAGGATCTTAAATAGAAGATCCGACTATGAATACCACCCTTGAGTTTTGTCAATTTTTTTAACACCACTTTGACATACATACATTTGATAGAAAAATTTATTCAAGGGATTCTCACAAGATTCCTTAACGTCTTTATAAAATTATGTCTTGTTCCAACAATATTAATATTCATTAGAAGATAATATCCAGAAAAAAATGCATTTATACTTAATCAGAACAACGAATCGATGCATTATATATATCTAAGTGGTAATATAATCGTGTTGGATTTTATTACAAAAAATGTACAGGCAATATTAATAACCAAATAATAAATACACACGTTCCACCTCCTCGTTCTTGTCCTTCTCGTTGTTGCGAATAAAATTTCCTCGCATTTACCACTTAAATCAGATGATACGACAACCACCACATTAGAACGGGTTGCATAGCTGCCAATGACAGTATGAAGTAAAGCCGCCTCTTGTTACCGGAGGCTGTGTACGAACTATGGCCTTGTGGAATGACTCTTAATTTTAACGATCGCATTAGAAAGACAGCTAGAGAAGCACTGAAGTACAATAGCATCACGTAGTAGCCAAACTTCCGAAAGAGCAAGGATATCAACAGTGCCGCATTAATACCGACATATTTGTAACCGCAATACGCCAGCAAGTCTAACGTCGCTAGACTCGTTTGGACATTCATCACGTACAAACTCACGGTGTGAACGAGCAATTCGATCAAGCCCCAGGCGAGAGCGGAGCTAGCTAGTATACCTAGTTGTTCGTGGGTGAAACGTTCCTGCATGCCTAAAACTAGACCTGCCGTAGCAACATATGTGAAAAACGCCATTGTGGGAATATACATGTCTGGCGCGTTGGTCTCGTATCGCGGCTGCAACGGTACATCTTGTTCGTACTTAACAGTCCAGTCCTGTAAGAAGGAACGATTGTTCAACTTGCACAGATAATATCTCCATCGATCGAGGCACTTTAATCCGTCTACATTTATTTCTGCGCGACAGAAAAAATGATCATGCGACCATGCGATATATTTGCATCTTTCTTTAAATGTCGAAACTCACCTTATGTGTAAACGGGAAGAACAGCAGCATTAATTTTGCGAAGACGTAATCGGTGTTTACAGCAAAATAATATTTTAACGCCGTAACTGGCACATACTTCTCGAGATGCTGTTTTCCGCTACCGACCAATGCGTTTCCGTATTGCATAGCCATGTCTGTAACGACTGGCTGAGCCAAGAATTGCGCAGCATACTGCGGATTCGCAAACTCCCCTCCTTGGTTCTCGCTGGGCGGATAATTCGACATCTGTGGATTAAATCCATACCCAGGTGGTGCCTGTCCAGACATATTGAAACCATATTCCGGCATTGTACCATTGTTCACGGGCACCTAGGATTAAGTTAACGATAGAGAAATCTATAACACGAGTTCTGTAAAATGTGGCAAATATATAAAAACGCAAACTTTTACTCGTAGAGTAGCAACTTTGTTTCCAGTTGGTCTAATCCGAAAATGTTGTCAACGTAACGAAATAATCATGAAATATACATTTTATAAAATTTACCTGTTGGCTATACATGTACGGATTCTGCGCCATTGGAGGAGTCGGCGCGGATAAGCCAGCTGACGGATCCAATAATCTTTTTGGTTTTCCTGCCGACAAATCGACTTTACGTCAAGTAAGAAAAAGTAACGATAACGAAATTATTTTCTACATTGGTTAATCAATTACTGGCGTTAAATAATTCTTCACGTTATTTATACATGATGAAATTAGATTAATACAGCTTTGGCAGTGATAATAAAATTAACATTCTTATTTTCACTTCATTAGACTGGACGACAATAAAACTAATAATCTTATTCCTACATGTGTACGCATATATGTGTATATTGTAAGATAGGATTCTAATATGAAATCGCAGGGTTTCCAAATTAATAAGCACTCTATTGGTTCCACCATGAATTTATTGCCCTTGGAGTGAAATCTGTTTAGTGGAAAATTCATTGTTTGATCGTGTAATTGTTGCGAGAAAAGATTTGTGATTGAATTTGGACGCTGAAAACCTATCTCATCATAGAGGACTTTCCTTTATAAATGCATTAGAAATGTTCCCCCGTTCTTTGCAGCTAAGCACTCTTAATTTTCCTCTTTTTCTTTCTCTCGAGTCTAATTACATAAATAGCAGACTCATTACAATAAGCCGCTATTACGTGACTGATGTTACTTGTAAAAATGAGCTGTGCAATCAAGCTATCCCGCGCCACGTCATTTCTATAAGATGGCACATTGTGGGAATAAATACGGCGGAGATCGGCGATATCGTAAACATCGATGATGACAAATAGGCGGAAAACGTGGAGCAAGTTTACAATCTGGCCATTCGTAGGTTACGCTCACCTCGGCGCGGGTTCGAGTGATTGTAATTCATATTGCCACGATTGATGTCACGCTGCGGATGCCACTCGGCGCGGTAAGCTGAAATCTCGCTTGCACGGACGCCGATCACTTGTAAACGATGAAATTAAAAACAACTTGCGCCGCACTACGTCGCCATGTTCCGCTCTTTCTGTCCGATCGTCACGCGGACATTTTGACTTTATGCAGAATTCACACGGTGTTGAATCATACACCAGAGAGAAACCTGAGAGAGAGAGAGAGAGAGAGAGAGAGCGGCGTTTTACTTGATACACCGTTTCAAGAGACTGTTTTGCGCGCCTTTACGCCCATTTTTACTTTTGCAACTATTTTGCTATGCATTTTCTGACTCTGCCGATAAAGTCACCACTTTGTGCGCGTCTGTGCGTTAAGCCCGTATCAGACTACGGATTGGGATTGGGATTAGATTGAAATTTAACCAATCACAGTAAAGTTTACTAATCTCAAGTTCAGTAACTTTTACTCTGATTGGTCAAATTTCAATCTAATCCCAATCCCAATCCGTAGTCTGATACGGGCTTTAGGGTGCTTTCACATGGAGCGTAAATTGCGTAGCGTAACCTGCGTATCACCAATCACAGGATCATGCTGATAGAACCGTTTCAATAATTCCGTTCAACTAGTCCTGTGATTGGCGATACGCAGGTTACGCTACGCAACTTACGCTCCATGTGAAAGCACCCTCA